TTGATGAATGCCTAGTAGAGTTGAGTATGAGTAGTGAACCTTAATTCTTGCAACATTGCATGTTGGCATTTCATAAGTGCATTAGTGGAGATGAACCATCCATATGCATTATTATATGCATTGGAAAGTAACCAAAGAAAGAGTTGGTAAACTTGTATATACAATTACTCTATGAGTAGAGAGCTTGGTAAATACAACTACTCTAAGGGTAGAGAGAAAAAAATGCTAGAATAGAGTGGATTAGAAGAGTAGAATATATGGGTTGATGCTTTGTGACATCACCCGACAGTTATGGGAATCGGGTTGATGCTTTATGATCACCACCCGAATAGCCCTTAGAGATGGGTCGATGCTTTGTGATCGTCACCCGATGAGTAGTAGAAATGGGTAGATGCTTGTGACCACTACCCGGTTAGTTGTTAGATAAGTAGGTTGATGTTTTGTGATCATCATCCGACACTTAGTAGAAGTGGATTGATGCTTTGTGAACATCACCCGACAGTGACTAGGGACGGGTTAATGCTTGGTGATCGTTACCCAAGAGTCATGAGAAACGGGTAGGTGCTAGGTGATCTCCACCCGATAGTTAGGAAAACCGAGTTGGTGCTTGTGATCCCCACTCGATAGTCACTAAGAACGGGTTGGTACTGTGTGAATTCACCGACTAGTCATGGAGAGTGAGATGGTGCTGTGTGAACGTTATCGGCGTACCTCCGGTAAGTGAGGCATGATGTTTAGTAGAAACAGAGATAGAATCAGAAAGGGAAAGGAAAGAATTAAGAGTTATACATACGGGGACAGACAGATAGAGGGTTTTACTTACTGAGCATTATTTTGTGCTCACCCCGTTATTTTCCTTTGTGGATGCAGGATCTAGGTGATGATGCAGTCGGAGGGGCGTCGGCAAACGAAGAGAGATAGCTACACTGTTTCCCCTGTTTTGTCTTTTAAAACGAATTTTTGTAAACAGTACTCTTTGTATATAAAAGACATATGATTTATAATGAAAAGAAAATTTTGGGGCCCAATTTTATATTGTTATTATGCATGCATTGTACTAGTTTTCAGCAGTTGTTACACGTTTGACTTCACAAACCTCCATTTTTGTAGCCATTTTTTGATTGCCTCACACATTGCAAATTTACCCAACCACCTCCATTCGAACCCCCATTCTCTCCTCTTCAAAATCCACCCCCACATTAGCTTCCCTCACTTACCATTTGTCATCCACTAGCCTTTCTTTTGTGCCCAATGGGGGTAGTGGGTGAGTGCGGTTTTTCGTCGAGCATTTGGTGTGCGTCTGGGGGAGAAAGCTCCAGTAATGGGTTGGGTATGGCAGAAATTCCAGAAATTTACACCAGCAAATCAAAATCAATTCAAACTTTTCAAAACTACACAACCAATTATCAATATTCTCACAAATCTCCAAAATCTACCAATGAAAGCAACCCCACAATCAAACAAACCAAACTTCTCCAAACTCGCGGTGGGGACGGTGGGGGTTAAAATGGTGAAAGGTGTTGGGTGATGGTTGAGGGGGAGTCAGGCTTGTGCGTGGGTGATGGTGAAGGATGCCAGGTGAATTCACGGGGAGAGGGTGAGGTTTTGGTCCTGGATGGACAAGGGTGCTGTGTGTGGTGTTAGGGAAGGTCTCCGGCTCTGGAAAACAGCCAAATCGGCCTAAAAAGGAAGTCATGTGACCTGAAAAGGTTTCGAGAATGGCCAAAATCTAGGAGTTCAAAAGTAATTTAAATTTATTTTTCAAGGATAGTTTGATAATAACACCACCTATATTATACCATAACTCAAAAATCATAAACATGTTAACCTATATTATACCATAACTCAAAAATCATACACATGTTAATTTAAAGGTGACAATTTGGAATTTTATGAGACGATGGTTTCGCTAAACCTTAGGTGGAAACATGTCCTTACTCTTGGATTATGTGAGCGTCGCCAGCCTTGGGTGGAAACATGTCCTTACTCTTGTATTATGGGAGCGTCACTAGTGGATGACTTTTTGATGCATGAATGAGCCTTACACTACCAATAAAGTCAGTCTATTAATTATATGTATTTAAATTGTGGTGTCCGTCATCTCATAGTTTAGTTTCTAACTAGCTAGAAAGTACTTGATATTCCAAAATATGGTTGATTTCCCACAGCTAAATTAGCCTAAATATCATTAATTTGTTCACTATCTTTACTTATACTTTCCAAGTAAACGACATTAATTAATATACCATCTAACAAATTCCAATGACGTAGTCTGATTTCCGATTTCTATATAAACTCACCTTCACAAACACCACACAGAGTCACAAATCAATAATCTTTCCAAAATGAAGTTCTTGCATATCCTCTCCATTTCTTCATTCCTTCTAATTACTCTTTCCATCACCATGGCCAATGCAGCCTCTTTTGATATCACAAACAATTGCCCGTACACTGTCTGGGTTGCTGCTGTGCCTGGTGGTGGTAGACAACTTGGCTAAGGTCAAACATGGACCATCACTGCCAACCCTGGCACCACAGCAGCCCGCATTTGGGCCCGAACCAATTGCCAGTTTGATGGTAATGGAAAGGGCAAGTGTGAGAAGGTGATTGTAACAGGCTCATCGAATGCCAAGGACATGGTGCACCACCAAACACATTGGCTGAGTACGCTTTGAAGCAATACATGGACATGGACTTTATTAACATGTCCAATATTGATGGGTTTAGTGTTCCAATGGAGTTTAGTTCAGTCTCAAATGGATGCAACCGTGTGATCAAATGCACGGATGATATCATCGATCAATGCTCGAATGAGCTGGAGGTTTCTAGAGGATGTAACGGGCCATGTCCTGTTTTCAAGACTGAGGAGCACTGTTGCCATTCTGGCAACTGTGGACCTACAACTTACTCCAAGTATTTCAAAGATAGCAACAAGCATATTTACTTGTCCTAATGGGACTAACTATAAGGTTATATTTTGCCCTTGAAGCATTTGAAGGGCGAAATGAAAATAATTAAACTACACTTATCAATAGAATATGACCTTAAATTAGTTTTTATAATAAAGCACATATGATCACCTTTTCTGGGTGTTGAAATTAATAAATGTTTTATCAAATGTGAAATCCATGAATTTCATTAATAGACTTCTTATCATTTTTTATTGTGTTGAGTAGCATTAGATTTTGTAGATTTGTTTTTCTCTTTTGTTTAGCGTGCATCTATCCATAAATTTTCGATCATATATTAATATTTATACACATAGATTAGAATTTATATATAATATTATTATAGTCGATATACCATAAATAACACGTCAATTTCACACCTCAGATTTTATAATAACTTGCAAAGATGGAGCTGGGGAAGTTTCCCTTTCGCTGGTGAGAATTCTAAAAAAATAAAAATAAAAATTTGAAAAAATTACTAATAAAATTTGATAGGGACACCATTTATTTTTAAATGCACTGAAATTTACTTTAATTAAAGTAGTAATCTCTCTAATTCTCTACGGTGAGTCGGTTACCAATGCCAGCTCATATTTGACTTCTTGTGTCCAAGTCTTCTACGACTGCCTCAACATTGACTTAAAGCTAAAAGGATAATCATAAGAAATCACCCGGAAATTTCTCCGAAATTTTCTGATCGATATTTTCATAATTTTTTTCCGAAGAGACCAACATCAAACACGCCATTTTTTCTTCTCACTGTCTCCAAGATGATGAGCTTCTTCAGAATCCTCTCTTTGTCCTCTTCCATTCTTCCTACTCTATACTTAAGTCTTGCTTTCACCGGCGTCCATGCAGCCCTTTTCGAGATACAAAATAACTGCTCCTACACGGTTTGGGCAGCTGCCGACCCTGGTGGGGGCAGGGAACTACGTCAAGGCCAATCATGGTTTCTCAACACGGATCCTAACTTCGACGACATTGGCCGCATATGGGCTCGAACCAACTGCAACTTTAATGCAAACGGGACAGGCAAATGTGAGAGCGGAGACTGTGACGGTCTTCTCTACTGTGTGTCACGAGGTACGAGTACGACACCCGTTACATTAGCAGAATATGGTTTTGGCTCCGGCGGTAGCCATAAGAGCACTGATTTTTTTGATATCAGTTTGGTGGATGGGTTCAACGTTCCTATGGAATTTAGAGCAACAACTACTGGGTGCAACAAAGCGATTAAGTGTGCGGCTGACATCAATCGTTTGTGTCCAACTGAGTTAAGGGACCCCGGTGGCTGTAATCATCCATGTACAGTTTTCAATACTGACAATTTGTGCTGTCGTGGTAGCTTCTGTACTACCCCTGAGACTTCTGCATCGGCGTACTTCAAGTTTTTTAAGGATTTGTGCCCAAATGCTTACAGTTATGCCTTAGACAATGCAAACGGTACATTTACTTGCCCTTCGGGAACTGATTACAAGGTTGTGTTTTGCCCTCCAACAACTTAATTTCTTCCTTTCCGTAAATTTCCTGGAGGAAATAGTATTTGGGTTGTACCAGTCTGGTGCTATAATGGATCAAAGTTTGCTTTTTCTTCAATTGTTTTTATTTTTTTCTTGAAAACACAATTAGCATCCAAAAGCATCATAAGAAAAAAGAAAAAGAAGAAAACATTGAAAATATGAGAAATATTTTTAACATTGATAATATTGTATTATAACTTAATAATGCAAATGTGGACCATTCCCTCACATGATTTGATTTCTTTTATCTTATTCACCACTAACATATATCCTTTTTTAAATTACAAGATTAAAGAGTTAGATGGTAATCTACGCCATAAAAATTGTCAATCCCCTACCAAATTCCATCTAGTGACTTCAATATTTTTAACCTAGTGCTTCCAACAATAAACTAGCTAGGGCATATAGTCTAGCCTAATTGCTAAAAACCCATTAAGACTAGGAGCACTAGAATTCGAAAACCAATTTGTATCTGTCAGAGCCTATGCATAAACACAAACCATTCATTCACAAGAACTTTTTAAGACTAGCATGTGGCGTTTGCCTGATCTTAATTCAAACCATACATTAATCAACATCAAAGGGCGTCACACAATAATGGTAATTAATGAATGACATTAAATGTAATGAATGAATCAAGAACATTAGAATTGATAAACAATAACTTTGATTAAAAACCCCATCACGTTGATCTCAACCCCCTGCTCAGGCATCTCTTCAAACAAATCCATTGCCTTATCAACCTTCCTGCCACTCCCATATATGTTCAGCATTGCCGTATAGCTATAACCATGCGGCTTACAATTCTCTGACTGTTTCATATGCTCAAACAGCTTCTCTGCTTCCTCAACCAATCCAATATCCGCACACATATTCAACAATGTGTTACACAAAATAAAATCCATCAGCCACCTATTCTCCCTCATTTGCTCCCATAATTCTAAAGCATCCTTAGCCCACCCAGCCTTGCCATAAATCTTGATAAGGGCAGTTAAAGTTTTCTCGTCCGGGGTTAAACCTGATTCAATCATTTCATCAAACAAACTTCTAGCCAAACCAGGCTTCCCAGCCTTGCCCATTGCTTCTAACGATGTATTGTACACAACCAAAATAGGCTGCACACCTAAAGATTTCATTTCTTGTAAAACATACCTAATGCCATCATAATACCCTGCTTCACCAAACATCTTCCCCAACACAGAAAATGTAATGGCGTCAGGTTTCCACCCAGTAGCTACCCCTCTCTCATACAAACTCAACACTTCCTCTACTTTACCTAATTTAGCATAAACATCTAAGATAGCAGAATATGTAACTTCATCAGGCATTAAACCAGTTTTATACATTCTTTCAAACCATTCTATAGCTTTATCAAAATGATTGCGTCTTTTGGCACAAGTAATAATAGTAGAGTAAGTAATATTGTCAAGCTTAATTTCACTGCTTACCATTTCATTTGCAAGCTCCTCAATGAGCTGAAACTGCCTCCCAAACCTCAAAGACTTCATGGTAACATTGTAGAATATAGTTTCCATAAGAAACAAATTCTGAGTCTTTATCCAATTAAAGAAAAGATAAGTCTTTTGCCAAAATTTCAAGCTGTTGAGTATCAAGAGAGCATTTTCTCTAGTGGGTTGCCGTGGGATTTCATTTAGGGCGGCCAAGAAAGCTTCTCCAGAGTTGTCACAGTCATTGAGCTTCTCTGCAAAGCCTTTTAGTTCTCTAATCTGAGAATTGTACAAGTAAGCAGAGCGCTTATGCCTCTGAAGTGAAAGCACAGACCTTATAGGCTTGGTCGGGTTAACCCATGCGAACCTTGGCTTGGATAAAAGATGGATTTGGTCATTCTTGGTTGGAGAAAGAGTGGCTGTGGAGAGAGGCTTGAGTTGCTCAGATAAAGATGAAGTCTTCGGGTTTGGAGAGTCTGGTAAATTTTGAGACTTTGATGGAGCTTTAAGGAGCTGCAACAAACACTTAAAATTAATTAACAAAGTTGCTTATATTTACAATTGCAAATCCTAAAAATTAAAGTATCAATGACTCCATAGAAGGCAGCCTCTAAATGCAGAAATAATTATTTTAAAATATTACAGCATTTGTGCTGGTGTTTTTTGTTCTAAAAATTCAAGTGTTAGTCCGTAACAATGTTGCTGGTGCTTTTCCTTTATCAGATATATGATTCTGCTAATGACTAAAGAGAATGAGAATCCATTTTTTTTCCTCTTTGACAGATAAAATTTCATGCTAGCTCTCAACTAATCAAAGTAGAGCTGTTCTGCACCCCCACTCATGTGAATTGAGATCTTATGAATAAAAAAGCACATGGAGAGCAGTCATTCTTTGACAAAAATGGAGAGCAGTTATCATACAACCTATAAAATTTTATTCAAAATAAATGGAACATTATTTCATTGTTTTCAGAAACAGGAGATTTTTTAGAATGTTAATTGATTCTCTGGAAACTGTTTGCCAAGTTACTTTTCCAATCAAGAAAATGGTTTTTGGTATTTGCGAACTGAGCTGTCTTTATCAAACACACATTTGCATTACTAATAACATATTTACACCTTTAATTAATGCATTATTCAAATACCCCTACAAGCCTTCAAAGCATTTCTAGTCACAGACCAAAAAGTGTTGCTCATCTTTTCCCAGTATTGATTACAAAAAAATTAAAAGAATGCCACAAGTAGAGCAGAAGTTTCTGCAAAATAAGGGAAATATTACAAATTCCCTCAAACACTTAACATTACAATTAATAAAAGCTAAGCAGATGAAATAAAAAAAGAAAAAGTGAGAAAAATATCTATTTCAAGAACATCCGAAACAGGGAATTGATATCTGAAATAGCAACAAATCATGAGCAGTTGTGTGGTATCAAGAAAAATCACATTTCCCTTTCCCAGACCACAAAGCAATCATTTATGCAATACTTTGGGAATGTTAGCCATCATCTAGAATATTGACAAGATTATATAATTAATTAAATAAAACTGGACAAAGGAGCACCAAGAAAATTAGATGGTCTCCACGAAAAGAAGAAAGACTTCAGAAAAGCAAAACCTGAAAGCAGGTTCTACACTTGGTCCTAGGTGAACTACAGGTTGTTGAGCTTTGGCTTTGTTTTTGGTTTTGGACTGAGTATGGGATTGACATGAACGTGAAGATGTGGCGTGAAAGACAATACAGACATCGATGGCCGATGATTATTCTCAGATTTTGCGATCAGAATTCTAATCTGAGAGTTGAGTTTTGTGAAGCTTCAACGATGCCTATACAACAAGTGAACCAGGGTGCGCGTGTGCGCCACACGTCATGGTGTGGCACATCGTCATTGGTAAGGATTTTTTTTTTTTTTTTTTAAGTTTATCTTCTTTAATTAAGTTCTATTAAAATAAAAATGGAAAATTTATAACAAGTGAAAAAAAAAATGTGGCCAATGATATAATAGTTTTAAATTAATTTAACATTATTTGTGATATAAAATTTATTATTAAATATTAATATTTTAAATGAAATTAGGTGCAACTATGTTTAAACAAACAGTCATTTATTAAATATTAATATTTTAAATGAAATTAGGTGCAACTATGTTTAAACAAACAATCATATATTAAATGACATTTGCATTAATTTTTCATATTAATTATGAATTATTTTAGTAAAAAAAATAAAAACATGGGCATTTAAATTGAAATTAGAATTAAATTTTACTGGATTTGGGCTTGCAATTTTTGGGCCATAAACTAGACCATAGGCCCAATGGACCCAGCATTCGACACGAACATTTTTGAGTCATTTCGCCAATGATAAGCTTAAATTACATATTAAAATGATATTTTTAAGAGTCATAAACTATTGTAACACAAATTTTAGACACGGATTTGTAATACAAATTCATAAACGTTAATTCATGAAAATCTAATGGTTTAAAAATTATTTAGTCAGTACTAAAAATTAACTAACTTTAATTTCTAATCCAAATTCGTTAGATTATATTGAGTCAATAATTATGAATTTGTGTCAAAAATTTGTATTACGATAGTCTAACCCTTGTTTTAATAGGGACCCATATAAAAAGTGTTAAAGATAATTAATGATAAATGTTATTTTATAATTAAAGATATATCTTAATGGACATGTTAATTTGAGCTCTTTCAATAATAATAATATATAGTAATTTTATTTTTGCATTCTAATATTTTTAATACAAATCCTTGAATTACTTAAACATTAAGATGATTTTTTTTTTTAATAAAAAATATCATAATAAAATGTTGTATAGAGAAACTTATTTGATACATTTAAGTGGGAGGACTGCGCTAATTTCTTCCAAAAATTAGTTGAGGTATGCGTAAACTGGTTGAACACTTGGTTAAAAACAAAAACAATAACAAAAAAATCTCTTTCAAAGATTAGTTGAGGTGTGTGTAAAGTGTAAACTGGTTAAGACACTTTGGTTAAAAAAAAAATAAAAAGCTTATCCAATACATAATTTTTTATTTTTTTTTATTTTACTCTTCAAATAATCATGAGTAATACTACACCAACAACCTTTTCTCATAAGTTTTCTCTTACAATCCTAACATGGTAGCTCGCAATTAATTAATAGGATCCATGCAAGACCCATTGTGAAGTGACCAATTGCAAACTATCACGTCAGGATTATAAGAGAAAGTTTGTAAGAGAGGGTTGTTGATATAATATTAGGCCGAACGACTTACGCATATCCAAGGTTTGCCGAAACGACAAGTTGGTACCCAAAAGGTTTTGAAACGACAAACATGTACCTTCCATCATGTGCGGTTAATGATTTCTGTTTGTTCATAGTGAAAAGACTAAAATGCCCTTAAAAGTTTGATATTTTAGTTTTTTATAAATTTTAAAATTTCTAAAAAAACCCCCTAAGTTTGCTAATTTAACTAAACACCCCCATATATAAAAAGTTTGTTAAATGACAAAAACACCCCCACCACCTGCGGCCAGATTCCGGCCGCCACCGCCGGAATCTGGCTAGAAATTGCGTTACGACACAGACTAGTCGGATATGTGTCGTAACGTGTCGATCTGACCTTTTCCGGCCAGATCCGTGGGTGATATGACCGGAAAAGGCTAGATCTACGGCTAGATCTGGCCGTCATGGCCGCAAAAGTCCATCTGCGACGTCGACGGCCAAATCCGGCCGTAGATCTGGCCTTTTCCGGCCATATCAGCCACGGATTTGGCCGGAAAAGGCCAGATCGGCGCGTTACGACATAGATCCGACGACGTCTGTGTCGTAATGCAATTTTCGGCCAAATTCTGACGGTGGTGGCCGGAATCTGGCCGCAGGTGGTGGGGGTGTTCTTGTCATTTAACAAACTTTTTATATATGGGGTGTTTAGTTAAATTAGCAAACCTAGGGGGTTTTTATAAATTTTTAAAAAACTAAATATCAAACTTCTAGGGCATTTTAGTCTTTTCACTGTTAACAAACATAAATTACTAACAGCACATAATGGAAGGTATCTGCTTATCGTTTCAAAACCTTTTAGGTACCAGCTTGTCGTTTCAACAAACCTTGGGTATGCGCAAGTCGTTTGGCCTATAATATTATTCAATAATCATAGTCTTGGTCATATTTTCCTTGGTTTAGTTTAAATCGTAGAAAAAAGTAATATTAAAAAATTATAATAAGCTTGACTTTCCAACATAAAGTTGAAGACGGCTAACTATGCCTAGAGAATTCGAAACAGGAGAAAGCAAAAGAAAACAAACCAATACAACTCATTTATCACATTTAATTAAATATTTACATTTTACACCTTTATTAATAGTACACTAAAATACACTTTTACCACAATGCAAAACCATACAAATATAATTATATATATAAATATAATTGCATCAAATGTCAAACAAATAAATCGTATCCATATGCATATTCTGATACACAAAATTCAAACTTACAATAATAATAACCACATCAAATCGTTGGTCCACGCCTGTTGAATAAATTCCAAAATTAGACTACTAATACAGTTAAATTCATTTTAGTCCTTGACGTTTTGTATAAGTACGTTAGATCCAGTACTAAAAAGTCTAAAATCTGAAAAGTAATGCTTACATCCTTGTCAGTTGATAACAAGTTAAAGAACTTTTATAAAATTGTCCAAAAATACTCCTAGTCTAACCTGATGTGAATGACATTAGAAATCAACTGGTTATAAAAGAGAAAAAAAAAAAAAAAAAAAAAAAAAAAAACCAAAGAGAAAAACAAAAATAGCCATTAGTTGAGGATTTTATTGGTTTTTGTACTGAATAATGGAGTAGTTATACATTTTCTTACATTAGGCAAGATAAGATTTAGGGGTATCGTAGATTTTTATTCTTGAAAAAGAAATTTTAATGACCACCAAGTGATGAAGATTTAAGGGATTGTTTGATTATGAGTTATCGCCAATTACTCCAATAATGTTATCATATTAAGATATTACCATATTTAGTTGTTAAATAATATAAGATTTCGGTAATCTTTTAAAACTAATAATTATCATTGTTAGTTACATAGGTGATAATATGAATACCACAATTTTCTTAGGTATTCTGAGATTATTTGGTAATTTTATTTTTATTATAATTTTACCCCTTATAATAAAATTTTTGGATAATAATGCCCTTGTTATTCAAACAATTTACTAGAATTTTATAAACAATTTTAGCTACACAGAAAAATATTAAGACATTTATACTTATACTTCCACCAAATTACCTAAGACCACAATCGGTCATTGGCCACCACAGTGACCGTCGGTTACCATCGCCAATCGTTGGCGTCCATCGTCGAAATGGTGCATGACTAGCTAGATCGCATGATCGACCGAATCTGGCTGGTCCTGTGCGATCTGGCATTTCAGCTAGATACATGGCCATCTGACTATTTCGGCCATCGATCTTGTCCAAAACGACTGGATCAGCACACAGAAAGCAGATTAGGATGATTTTGTGTGATGAACGCTGGCAATAATTACCTTTTTTGAGACTCGAATATAAGATTTCTAGATATAACTAACCCTGATGACTAAAGAAATGTCATCCGGCCACAGGGGGAGAGTTAATTTTATATTGATTGACAGAGTAGATATAACTAAACCCAATGACTCGAACATAATGACCGCTAAAGTGATAAAAACTTAAGTCTTATTTCCAGATTCTATAGGACTTGACTTCACAAAGCAAAACATTATGGATCAAAATGTGATTAGCCCATATATAGAGTCATAATTGAATTAAATTAATGAAAAAACTGTGACTCCTGCTGTCTGAGACATGTCTGATACATGAATCTTAGCGTGTTTCATGATTCAAAAGTGATCTTATAACACAATTATGATAATTAGACAAAACATGTTCCATAATTGAGAGAGAGATAGAGAGAGATTAGTGTAATTTTACAAACTCTTTTGTCTTATTAGCTTTTGTAAATAGTGATTGGTGGCTGGCTACCCCCCCCTTGCCCTTTCTAGTTTGTAAATCACAACCAAATTATTGAGGACCCATTTTAGGCCTTCTTTAATTTCTCAACTCTGTTCCCATTTCCCACCTTAATCAATGGTGAGTGAGTGCTGACAAAATATCCTCTACTTTTGTCATTGTCACTCCGATCTTCAACGATTTTTCTTCACTCAGTTTTTATTAGTTAATCGCTTGTTTTTTCTCTCAACATCGTATTTGTAATGTTAAACGGGAAAGTGGATCCATCCAAGACCTTTCTCTTTTTTGCCGTCATCACTTTATCTTCAACGATTCTATTTTAATATAGAAAAGTTATGATTCTACTTTCAAAACGAATAGAAGATTATGTCTTGAAACCAGTAAAAATAAATATTATTAATAAAATTATAAATATAATTGATGCATAATCAATTAATATGAAGCTACAGACAATTGTCAATAGTTTTAAGCATTACAAAAGTAAGACCTTTAATATTAATGAATTACACGTTATAAATAAAGTGGATGTGAAAAGTAAAAGAGTCACATTATAGAATTGAGTGATCAAATTTGACAACTTTACTATATTAATCGAATCGACATTAATGTCTTTCTCGATAATCTAAATGAGCAACAAATCGTGTATGCTTTAACTAAAGAAGAAATCATTGCTGCAATTAGACAAGAAGAGAAATGAAATAATCCTGAGAATGATAATACAGAAATATAAAAAGTTTCGTGCCATGAAACTCTATACATACTTGAAAAGCTAAAAATACTTTGGCTTCAATGAGAAGGTGTCCATGTTAGTAAGTTATTACGTACTCGCAAGGTAAAAGATATGGTAACAACTCTAAAACATAAATCATTGTCCCAAACAACTTTTGATAAATATTTTATTCTATTTTAAACTTTTAATGTAATATAATATATATATTTTTTGTAATATACAGATAATTATTACAATGTAGAAGCACGATAATTAGAAAAATTATAACTTATTATAATGTGAAGTTTATTCTTATTTATATTTATCCAAAATTAGAATCATAATTTTTTATAATTATATAAAATTTATTCTTATATAGTGTATCACTATACAAAGGTTTTACTTAATCCGATTCGTCCTCTATTTTAATCGTTATTTGATCTTCAACGGTTTTTCCCGACAAAGGAAAATGATTAAATTATCTTTCGTATTTGTAATATTATACTGCATGCACCCAAAATATTCTTCACACTTCACTTACTTTTTACTATTATCATTTTGACATTATTGCTTGATCTATTATTTTTTAATATAGAAAAATACTTATGGTAAATTTTTAATGTTAAACGGTGTTATGTAGCACTCAATTTTCAACGATTTTTTTTCCCTCTTTACAACAATATGGTGATCATTATGTTTTTTGAATGTAGAGAGGCAAAGGAGGGGCACAAAACCATACTAGTTATGATTCTTTATATATTATTCTAAACGTTGGTATTTCTAATATTAGACCATACAAAATATTCTTGGTTTTCTTAATTTCTATTCTTGTTAATTATTGTTATGCCTGAGAACATAGGACTGACGTAACATCCAGTTAAGTGCGAAATGTCAGATCTCGGGAAGAGTCTTCTGCCATTCTGGCGCAGCTGCGTCGTGTGATCATGGTTGCACCCCACAGCTTGCTTCCGTCAGAATAATGGGTGCACGTCAGGCCAACAAGGAGTTGTGATGATTCCGCGTGTCCATCCCCTGCAGCAAATCACGTGAATTACTCTAAACGAAGGATTTGCATGGATCATCCCACCAACTTGCAGATTCAGTGATCATTACCTCAAGACATCTCACTATAAAATAGGAGCTCCTCTCTCATTAAAGGGATTCGCACTTTTTACTCTTGACAAAAACTCTCTCTCTAGAAAAGACAGTCTTTGATACCTTGTATCATCAGTGTAAAATCAATCGTCTAAAGCAACCTGATCATTATCATTAATAAAAATATCAGTGGACGTATGATTTGCTTTCTTAGCATCCGAACCACTTTAAAACTCCTTTCTTACTGTATTTAGTGTCATTTTTCTTTTTCATTCACGTATATTTTTTAGACCAACCCAACATTTTACAGATATATTTTGTTGATGTCAAAATCACGCATCAACAATTATAATTATTCTTCTGAATGTTAAAAGGGTAGAGAAATGAAACACATTTCAGTGAGAGGAGAGACAAAATGGGAGGAAGGGACAAAGGGACCGAAAGCAGAAGACAAACAGCGACAAGGATGAAGTGATGGTCATCTTATTTTCCAATTCCCCATAAAACATTTACACTTAGCCTTCATTTTTGGTTTATTTCTCACTTGTATTCACTCAAATTTGGACCAAGGCCCCCCATCTCTTTTGTGTTATTACTTTTCATATCAAGCTGTACAACACCATTTTGGCTGTGAAACACCACCACCTCCTCTTCTCAACCTAAACACTTTGTTGTTTTGGTGGCGCTTGTTGGGTCTATTTCATGTTCTAACATTTCAATATCAATGGGAGAATAAGCTGCCCCCATGCGCATTGCTCAATTATTATTATTATATAATTATTAGTAAGATGTGTAACAGCTCACTCGAATCAGATCATATAGATTTGTTTTTAGATTTCATGCAAGTGTCTTTTTCTCAAAACGCATTTACAAGAACTTAACAGTCCGTTTGATTCACTTTTGGGAATACTATTATTAATATTCTCAATAGAGTTTAAACAGTAAAAATGACTTATTTTTAAAATATTATTCAATTTCTTTTAAACTCCGCTAAATTTGTTAATTTAATTAAATACCCCCAAATATTTTTTAAAAAAATTACAAAAACACTCCGGCCACCCTTCGACGGTGGTGGCCGATCCATATTTAATAGGTAGGTTGGTGGTGTTTTTGTTAACTTTTCATATTTTATTATATGGGTGTTTAGTAAATAAACAAATATAGGAGATATTTTTATTAATTTCCAAATCTTACATCTTAATACCCTCCTAATTTAACTTTTTTTCAAAATATTATTATAAAAAACTATCAGAATAATGAACCAAACGGACCCTAAGACTTATAAACTAAACTCAAGTTTCATTTGTTTTGGACCCTAAGACATCTGCTATTCTCCCAAAGTTCTAAAACTGTTGGTCGGGTAAAAGCCGCATATACTATTGCTAGTATTATGGATTTAACTTTGATAAAAGATTAGGCATACCTTTGCACTAGCATTACTTTGAACTTTCTAAATTCTATGATTTGGGTGTTTGACAACACAATAATGCCCTATTGTTTGGGTTTGGTGAAGCACTAACAGCCCTTGATTACTTCCTACAAAAAGTTGGTTTTTGGAAATTTTTTTTTTCTTTTTCAATAAAATAGTATTTCAATGTGCCTAATAAAAAGTAAAATTACTAAGTTCCTATTTTTTTTTTTTTAATATTAAAAATTAAAGTTCGTTTGGGTTTATTTAATAATTGGATTAAATAAATTAAATGGATTTGGAGTAGAAAGATTTAATTTGACCATATCTTTTTAGTGTTGTTTTAATGTGAAAACTAAAAGGTCCACTAATAAGTTAAATTAGTAAATAATGCACCACTATCTACGTGGAAATCAATCCATTAGGGATTGCTTAAAAAAAAAAGCACTTACTAAACCCTTTCTTTTATTCCCTTTTACTAATAAACCAAAGAAAAGACTTCAATTAACCACTTACATAGCTCCTTTCCTATACATTACGTGAGCTGGGCCTACTTGATAAGCACTTAAGAGAAGCACTTTTTCCATTACCATGTATGTGAATTCAATTCAGTAAAGTTTTAAAGGCTTCCCACCACTAAGCTGTGTTTGGTCATTCTTTTGAGTTTAGAAAACTCATTAAGCACTTTTGGGGCGATGAGGGGTGAGGGGTCTCTCTCTTTTTTGGACGTGGGTCCTTGCTGATGACAGAATCAATTCCATAAAATTAAAGAAAAGTGCTTTTGTCTGACTCAGTGTGACGTGGAAGGAGGTTAGACTAGAAGGACACAACCAAGAAACCCCAAATTCCATAATCAAAATCATAACTTTGACCACACTGTTCTTAAGATCCCTCCAAGATGACTCCAATTCTTTGAGATAAAATCAAACCACTAGATGGGTATTCTCATAGTACATAAAAATATCATATTATTAATACTTTTAAAATCGATTTTCATTCTATGTTTCTGAAGAGGGTATTATCAGTTTAGTGTTTCAAATCAAAATTGCATATTTTTAACGCATTATCGATAATGTGAAAGTCGAAGGAGGAAGCAAGCAGCAACGGTCACGAATGAATATGGCGGGAAGAACTGTTGAAGTGTGAACTGGTTTAAGCTTAGTGGGCCACTTTGTGGAATTTTGGGAACGTTTGAGGCAAAGCAATCTCTAAACTTTCGGTGTGTGTTATTAAGTTTTTTTGGGACTATCGTCTTCTCTCTTCCTATATATATCTCCTTCCATTCTCCTCCATTTTTACTCTACCCAACTAAATTCTCTTCTCTTCTCTTCTCTCCTCTTTTCTTCTCTTGTCTCTTCTTCACTATCATCACCTCCTCCTTTTCAGCCAATCCCCTCATCAATTCGTAATTTTTACCATTTCTCCTGAATTTTTGAATGATTTTAACAACCGGGTGCAGTAAAAGATTCCATTTTTGGAAGTTTTAAACAGCTTTTGTACACAACCTTTTAGTTTCGCTGTGGAATTTACTCCCATTTTGGCTTCTGGGTATAGCTTAAGTTTCAGCTTTTTTCTGTAGTTTATACTTTCTTTTTGGATTAAAACTTTGTGGGGGGTGGTGGGGTTTGAAATTTTGATCATAAGAAGAAGACTTTTCAGAACAATGAACTTGATGTTCAACGGGTGCATTCTCTGGAGGTTGCACTCAATTCTTTACAACAAATCTAGTGTCGATAAAAGCTTCTATTTTTGGATTTTCCAGATCTTTAATAGGTACACTTCAGGGACTTAGCGAGTGACTTTGATACACACAGCCCTCCTTCTGCTTTTGCTCTGTTTTGTTCTGTTGTTTTCTCTGGTTTTTTGTCTTTAGTTTCTTTATATATAGAGTGTTGTGAGGTAGTAAACAGATTTGGACTGGAGAGTGTAAAAATGGCATCTTTGCCACCTGGTTTTCGGTTCCATCCAACTGATGAGGAATTGGTGGGATATTACCTCAAAAGAAAAGTAGAGGGGCTTGAAATTGAGCTTGAAGTCATCCCTGTGGTCCACTTGTACAAGTTTGATCCTTGGGAGTTGCCAGGTACTTTTACAAATCCATCTTTTTCACCTTTCTAATTGATAATTTTGCATGTTAATTATATGAATTTGGCCTTTTCTTTTGGATGTACACAACTTGTATTCAATTTGTACAACCAAATTGCCATTAGAAACTGATAATGACTATGTCATCAGTGATGAACTGGAGTTCAATCATCAATGCCAGTGTGAACAGATTTTGTTTTCAGTACTGGAAAGCACTTTTTTGTTTGTTTTGTATATTTTGTATCTCTTTTCTTTTCGTCTCTCCTATAGTCCTATTATAAGATCTTTTTTCATGGGGCCTTCTCTTTTTCTTCCAAAAGCCAATTCTATCAGATTCCATGAACAATCTTTCTTTTGTTACTTTTTTTTTTTTCCTGAATGCCAAGCTGTGAATTTGCAGATAAGTCATTCCTTCCAAAACGAGATATGGAATGGTTCTTCTTCTGTCCAAGGGATCGAAAATACCCGAATGGCTCAAGAACAAACAGAGCCACCAAAGCTGGCTACTGGAAAGCCACTGGAAAAGACCGGAAGGTTGTTTGCCAATCTTCTTCTGCAACAGGGTACCGAAAGACCCTTGTTTTCTATCGCGGACGCGCGCCTTTAGGGGACCGGACAGATTGGGTAATGCATGAGTATCGACTCTGTGATGATCTTTCTCATGGATCACCAAATTTTCAGGTAAATTCAATAAGTTTGATGATGCAGTTCAGTAGTATGAAATGGCATTTTGGCAAGTTTGTTTTGAGGCTTATATGTAATTTAACTCTTCTATCCAGGGAGCTTTTGCTTTGTGCCGTGTTGTTAAAAAGAATGAGAATGCACAGAAGACGAGTCATGGAGAACTGAAGGGAAAGAGAGTTGGAAGCAGTTCAAGCATTGAGGATTTGACTTCCACAAGAGTTTCTAATGAGCCCTTGAGTATCTCCGGTGACATTTCTTCTCAAGCAAGCTGCCTGTACAATGAGAGTCGCTATTCGAGCCCTATGACTTCTCCTTATCCTTCTGAAGTCACAACAATACCCGAGTCTGTGCCTGCTCTGATGGATTCAAATCCTGCAAATCTCTGGGTCTCGCCTGAACTAATTCTTGACTCATCAAAGGTAAAACACTCGAGAATCAAGGTTGATAGAAGGAACTTCCATGGATTGAGTTATATTTGTGAGATTTGTTATTGATTTTCTCATTGGCTTGTCGCAGGAATATTCACAGGTCCGTGAAGCTGCATCCTTTCCTCAGTATGAGTTTCCAAGCTCAATGACTCCATGGCAGTCATATGAGCACACGGATTTCTCCCCAAGTTCATCCTACTCGAATTTCAATGGAGAAATTGAATTTGCTGAAGATCTCAGTCGAATTGGCTGCATGTCACCATACTCAGGACAAGTAAATTACCCAAGTTTTTATGGTAATGAAGATATGTCCTATGACGGTTATGATCAAACCAGTTTGATAAATTATTCAAGCCTCTTCTAGAAATAGAAGAGAAGATCATTCTAGCTTCTTCTTTCTCCAATGCCGGGTTCAAGCAAGCAAGTAAAGCTGGGAATTTTATTGTGGTCTCTGGTTTTAGTACAACAATTTGGTGATTGTGATTGAGGGGGTCTTGTATTAGGATTGGTCAGCTGGTGTAACTTGCATCTCAAGGGGTCTCCAAGACAACGCCTTTTTTAATGTTAGATCTTGGAGAGGAAAATAATGAGTAAATCCCCTTTTTCTATGTCAAGTTCAGGTTTAATTTTTTTGTCAAAAGTCCTGGTTAAATGGTTTATGCTTACTGTATTAAGTTGGATTAATAGTCGAGGGTTGGGTCGGTCTGGTTTCATGTTTCGGTTTAGTAAAAGAACCCCCAGGTGGTCACTTTTATCGATTTCACCTGGAGATGGAATGCTGGATGAGTCACGGTTTGTCCTATCTCTATCATCATAGAAATAAGCTTCTTGCAGCATATTGTATGTTACCTTCTGATATATGTTATTAAGGTTTGTCATCTATATATATATATGTATGATTTCTTTTTCATAAAAAATACTGAATGGCATTAGAAAAAACTTTTCTCTTCGAGGCATTTGGTATTTGGCACTTTTAGCTCTTGAGTCTTGACAAACTGATTACATATTGGATTCAACATTTGAGCAAATATTGCTGCTTTGGACACATCTGCAAAATGAATCCTGTGCTGTTTGCTTATTAATTAGTATCTAAGTGGCTGATTATTTCTAACTTAATTGACAAGATTAAGCTCCCTGACTCCGAGAACGACAAACGTTATAACAAGAAGATTGCGACGCCTAGCTACGTGTCATGGTAGGATCATGTTCAAGCCTCAGCTGCTTCTACCTGAAACACCCAGAAAGGCTAATGACAGATATGTTTTATAAGAAAATTTCCCGCTTCCCCTACCAAGTTTCAGGATCATTTTATTATACTATTACAAGAAACCACACAGTTGAAGTAATTTCCAAAGATGTGATGTGGACCTTGCTTAGCCTGAAGGCCATTCAAAAGAATAGTTACAACTGTATCCAAACTCCACCCATATAATTAATTCCAGTTGAAGTAAAATATATACAGATTACAAATGAGCCAAGAAAGGAATTCACTGAATGGAGGAAGAGCCGACCGAAAAGAGGCAATTATGCATTTGAAAATAAGATTATGTCAATTTCCATCTGCAAAAGTTCTTGCAAACTGTTCCCCGCCCATTCTTTACTTTGGTGAGAATCTTGACAAAAGAGTGTCACTAATGTAACTTTAAAGAGTGCTTTCCTGAAAAGCTAATTATCCATAATCACTTTTCATGTAACACAAACTGATATTCTCTGTAAAAATCAGTCTCTCCCACCCCCCTAAACCTATCTCAATGCCCCTTTGGCTCCTCAGTCTTCCCCACCAAATATATAAATGATTTCCTTGTTTAACAAATCTCTCCCTTTATGCAAATATGCTCCACTATTGGAACTGAAAGTGAAAGTTCTAAAAGAAGTGCATTATTCAAGTTCAGTGGCTCCTGCGGCATAATTTAATTATTCATGTTACAATCAAAACCATATACTTCATAACAATAAACTAATCTAAACTTAGTATAAGCTTGCAATTTGAGGACTACAAAAAACAAGCACTTCATCAATAGTAGCCCTGGATTCATCACCAAAAATAGACTCCTTCCCATCTTTTCTCTTGGCATATGACAAGCCCAATCTAGACTTCCCTTGCCTGAGGTCCCCAACACCGGAATTGGTATCTGGTCCGGCGAACCCGCCCATGACTGGGGCAAGCGGGGGCCCAATGAGCAACCCATCAGCCCCAAACTGAGGCCCACCTCGAGCATAATCAAAAAGGGCTGCACCACTGCCCCCAACTTTTGGTAGAATGAATGGATCAATTTCCTCATTATCTATCCAATAAAAGAGAAAGGCATCAAACGTATCATAATAATCATCAGTGCTCCTATAGCCTTCAGGATTAAAAGCTCCAAACTTGAATGACTTGTTTGTGTATCCGATTATCACACATGGTCCCTTGAAATCACAGCAGCTGTGGAAATCACTTGCACTGAACCCATCAATGGTGGCCTTGTAGCAACACTTCAGGTCTCTACCTGAGCATAAATTGTGAAGTTCTTAATGTGAAATGGATGAATTTTAACTTTTAAGTTTTTGATTGAAAGATAAAAGTTACCTCGGAGGAAAGTTTTGTCCACCAGAGAAAGAGAGAAGGGAAGATCAATGTTGTGATAATAGTTAGGCTGTGGAGTTTGATCATTGTCAGGATTTTTCTTGCCAAAATTCCAACCAAATAAGCTACGTGGGGTTGATTTTGATTTTGATTTTGATATCCAGGTCTGGAAAATTGCAGAGTTTGTGACACAAAAAGCCATTAAAAAAAACCCAGTTTCTTCTTTCATTCAAGTGCATGCTCTCAAATTGTACAGAAACAACACCATCTTATCCTTAATTATTCTGATTTGTCATCTTCCTATGATATGTTTTACGGCCCTGTCAACTTCTATCCAATTAAAATTTTATTTTTAAGAATAACAATAATAATAGCTACTTAAATTGCATATTTATTGACAAAATTAGCTGAGAAATAAAGGGTTAATTACATGTATCCTTAAAATATAGCCATAAAATATGGATAAAAAATAAATCGGCTTTCTGTTGGAAAAACAAAATCTAAGTCATGTGCAAATTGGAGAAGGAATTATTCTTAGTCAATAGTTAGTAGTCTGACTAATAGTTTCATTATTTAAAGTTAAATAAGTTTTTTAGAACACAAACGGGTCCATAGCTCAGTGGTAGAGCATTTGACTGCAGATCAAGAGGTCACCGGTTCGAACCCGGTTGGGCCCTTTTAACAATTTTTTTTTTTTTTTTAAATTTTATCTATAAATTCCATTTTATTTTATTTTTTAATTCGTTAATACAGTGATTCTACATTAATTTAATTCTAGTTATGAAAAAAGAATAGTAGAACTTAAAAGCTTATGTACATTAATGGATACCAAGCGAAAACCATAATCTATTTCTTTCAAAAAATTACCATATATACTTCCAATCATTTAAACATTCTAAACTCAATTTACATTTCAATAATTTCTATATTTTATAAAGATTATCGAATTATTTATGAATTATTACAAAAAAAAAAAAAAAAAAAACTGATTGAAATGATGTCATTTTAGTGGGGGAAGAAAAATCAATAGTCAGGCGTAAGGGAAGAGATGGAAAAGGGGAATAAAATAACCCTCTCAAAAAGTTCAAAACTTAAAATGACACTCCATTTTCCCGTCCATTCCCTCACACCTTTACATTTTAAACTCAAAACCCATACAAAATTATTTCATATTCTTAATTATTTTCGTGCTATCTAATAAATTATATTAGATTAATGATATTAAAATAATAATTTATGTGAAAAAAAAAAAAAACTGTCATATATATGGGTATAAATAATAATTAGACTATTGTAACACTATCTTTTATATAGATTTGTGAGACAAAATTTTATTCTTGATTTAATATAATTAATGGATTAATGGGAAGTTAAAATGGTTTGCATTTAATATCACACTTATCAAGTTTTAATTAGTAAAGAATCATGGCTAAATATTGTGTTTGAGTCTGGAGACTATAATTTGAATATCAGTTATATATTGTATATTTGTGTTATTGGTTAATTAAATACTTTGCATTTGAAATACTATATTGATTTTAGCCAGGTAATCCATAAAAGTGTTAAAACTAATATTGATATTGCCATATTTTTCAAAACGTATTATTGACAATGCACAGTATTAAACCCGTATATACCCATATCGTATTTTTCCCGTATCCAAATTTTATGACCAAATTTTTATAAACGTATTTTTCACCGTTTGCCGTATTATACTCGTACCATTTTTTTGCCGTACTCGTATTTACTAACTAGGCCCCAGAATTTCGGGGACACGTCCCACCCCGCCCCATATGGGGCGGGGAAGCCCTGGTTTTTTAAGGGATAAGGGCAGGGATTGGGGGGCGTTTTAATCCTCGTCCCCAAGGATCGGGCAGGGGTGCCCCGCCCCGCCCCGTATATAATATATAAAGTTATATGTATATTTACTTTACACTAATACTATTATATTTCATCTAATTACACAATTATCCTACCTATATAAACCCATATTATGTTTTCATAAACAGAATATAGGGAAATGCTCAAATTTATGTTTATGTAAAATTAACTATGTTTAAACAATTAATTTAAGTGTTTGTCACGTGGAAGAGAATTAACTATGTTTAAGCGATTAATGTAAGTGTTTGCATATAGACGAGAATTAACTATTGTGTTTGGTAATATTCAAATTAATTTATGTTTATGTAAAATTAACGGGATGGGGACGGGCCTTCGACGTTCCCCATGGGGCGGGAAAGGGGAATTCTTGTAATCCCCGTAAAGGGGATAGGGCGGGGGTGGGGAGTGATTTTGAGGGCGGGGATGGGTACGGCAAATGAGATCCCCGTCCTCTCCCGCCCCCATTGCCATGCCTAACTTCCAATCATTTAAACATTCTAAACTCAATTTACATTTCAATAATTTAAAATTGTGTACTAACTTTCATGTGAAATTGATCATCTTAAAAATATCTGATCATTGAATATTCATGTCACTTTAGGTCATTAATTAGTCACTATTATCTTGAATAAATTTTTTAATGATATATATGTCATTAAGTTAGAAAGCATCCTATTAATAAATTTAGGGAGAGTAAATTTATGTGTTGAGTAATAGAGGAACAAAATTGAGAGCGAGTGAGGGGAAACGAATCAGAGCAATATAAAGCTGAATCTTAACGGATCATAATAGTAAGACTACTTTATCCCTTAAAATATCTGACACGTATTTAAATTGTCTAAGATAATTAGCCTAAATATTTTCAAGATATTTCCAAATTTATTGAAGCTTATAAGATAAAACCACTATAACTTTAGAAAAAATGATTAACAAAAAAAAAAAAAAAAAAAAAAAAAAACAATGACATGAAATTTCAATATACAATCAAATAAGGGTATATCTAGCTAACAGTGAAAACCCTTATTCTGCGGCATGTGAAGGCAAATGATTATCCCTTTCAGACGGCCTTTCACAAGTCACAATGATCCGATCATCACCATGGTTGAACTCTTTGAAGCCTGCAACTCTCCCCAGTTCTTCAACTTCCTCAATGACACCATCGAGCCTCGCCACTATCTCCAACAGCAAAGAAGCAAAAGCAGCAAAAGGAAGCGCTTCCGAGAATTCAAGGCTCATTATTGCAATTTTACTCAGCTGTGGCCTCAACGTCTTCCGGTCGGCTTCGGGTGCCCTTTTGGCTCTCCATTCTAGCAACGTGGAGGGGTCGGTTTTTCTCTTCGTTTTCCATTCGAGCAACGCAGAAGAGTCGGTTTTTACGCTCGATAATGATATTTTTGCTTCTTTTTCTTTTTGTTGCTTTTGCGTTGCATGTGCAGCTGCTAGGGCTAGCATGTTGCCAGCATGGTTCTCGTCGGCTCCAAGAAACAGCCTCGGCTGAGATTTTATGGCGGTGTTGAGGTCTTCTATGGCTTCATGGAGGTGATCGGAGAGTATCTCCGGGGAGCAGTGGCGGTGATTTTTAACACTACTGGCAAGTTCTGTAAGCGCTTTTGAGACTTCGCAGGCAAGGCGAATGCATGGATCTTTGAAGAGGGCTCGAACCGATTTCGGAGTCTATAATCAAATTAAAATTTAAATCATATATACAATTATGATCACTCAAATTGCAATTAATTAGAATGCTGTTTAAATATTACCTGAATTTCAGTTTGCAAACATCCATGAAGAGCAACAACTGTATATCCAAATTGGCGAAGAACTGTTCCCAGTTTCAGATATTGGTTACATGGAATTTTGTGTTTAGCGTGCCTAGGCTCCCAGCTCGCATAAACTGCCTGCAAAACTCAAACTTTCACTTCAATTAATACCCAGAAAAAGTGAAGAAGTTAACAGCTTAAATTACAGTAGAAATTAAGAAACTTACAAGAGTTTCATCATTGGATTTGGAATCCAAAACAACCCTGTAACCTTGGTAGATAATATCATCTATTTCTTGGCCTACTCCTTCAGTATCATTATCATTGAAATATTCTTTCACACAAGCTGCAAAGTTAACACATAACATTAAACAAACTAATAACATTGAGATGATAATTAAGTTTAATTATCGGTTCTTAATTACCTTCGATGGATTTAGCGAGGCCTTCGAGTTTGGTGAGAGTGGAATTGTGGAGGTCTTGGCCTGACCAAATAGGAAAGATCAAAAGAGTCATGCAGAGGCAGATGCCACAGCCAATGCCGATGGTGTAAAATCGTTCTTTTGCGATGTTCAATACATTGTCAACACGGTAGCTTGATAAGGTAATCAAGTTAAAGGTTAAAAGGAATATCACAACACCATAGTCATAGTTCTTCTTTATGGAAGGAACGAATCTCATGTATGTAGCTCCAGCTCCTGTTAGATTCAAAATGGAAGATTTTACAACTACTCAAAATCACTCAATCATCTTTGATCCCTACCTTACTTTTGAGTTTCATGTAAACATTTGAAATGTATATTCTTAATTGACACAATCCAAAAACCGTATGAAATGAAAGAATGAACACCAATTAATATTTGTTATTGAAGATTAAATCTGTAACCCCTTGACTCATTGTCAAAATATTTTATATTCATCTCTTACTCACATCAAAGAGGAATGCACTTGAACTCCACTATTAATTTGAAGTGAGTAAGTGATAAATCTACAATATCTTAACAGTGGATCCGGGTGTAAAAGAATCATTTGAGACTAACGAAATTTACCTACTAGACAAACTGCAACACTAATGAAAACAGCTCGGAAAATATGACCGGAGGCGTCTGAAATATATTCAATGAAGCAGCCTAAGAATCCTGCTGAAAATGTTCCCAATCCTCTATTCAATCCTTTGTAAAAAGTTGCACCTGTACATAATAAGAAAGAAAAAAGTATATATATATTAATAAATTGTATATGCAAACATTGTTAATTTTTCCTTTGAAATCAAAGCCTTAATTCGCAGAAAAGATAAGCAATAACCTGCATTGAACTCAAGCACAACAACCACAGTCATCACAGCCCAAATGCCACTGTCATCAAACCTTTTATACAATGGATCAATCAAATACAACTGTGAAACCAGTGTTAATGCAACCCCAACTTTCAGAGCATGAATCACTCGTCGATAATCTTCTTCACCCACCTTCCAAATTGTATGCCACCATGAACCCAGAAATTTCCACACTCTCTGATCAAACCTCTCAAGATAATTCTTAAAAAATCCACCAAACTTGCAGGTTGAATGCCACAACAACCCCGGAAACCTCCTCACTTTGTCACCAAAAACTTGAGCGTAATTTCGGTGAGAAACCGCATCTCCCGAAGCCGTGTGATCCTCCATCTCAATGCCAACATGAACCCTCGTAGACATGGTCAATTTCTCCAGAAACAATTATCAATCAGTAATAAAAGACCATGCATATAGATATAGTGGTACTTTCTTGAAGTTTATGTAAGAAAATCACCCCATTTTGCCGAAGATACTAAGGTTAATATATATACATGGAAACTTACCGGATTCACATGCAAGACAATATAAAGTGAAAGAAAAATATATATTAAAGTGAGTTCACACAAGGGGGTGAGATTTGTAGATGAGTCAACTTGAAGTAGAAAATTTAAGTTTTGGTAAGATAAATAGTTGTTTCTTTGACAATTATATATTATATAAATCTCTGGAATGATTAAGAAATGGGAAATCTGAAAGTTAATAAGATCATGGGTTGAGTTGGAAATATACATACTCACTAAATATCAAAGGAGTAGTTGAATTTGATTGTATGGTGATCTAGCTTTCCTTTTTATATATTTTTTCTTTTCAGAATATATCTTCCATTTCCATTTATATACAAACCCGCTGCAATCAATATCACAATTTACATTAATTAGCAGCAAGAAGAAATCAAACTCAGTAAAATCATAATTGTGCTGTTTTTGCTTCTCATTGTTCAAGCAAAATGAACTATAAAGTATAACAATAGACAACAAGAAGCATGTGAATTCCTAAATTATTTCTACCTTTTTCATAAACTTCAAAATTAAAATCACTATAAACCCACTAAGATCGAGGAATAACATATAATTCAGTCCAAATATTGTATTCTGAAATTTAACTACTAATCATCAATGACACCATTTTAGTAAACATAAAATTATATCACAGATTTTCATATACTGAACACATTTTTGAACAAAATTTTCAGTTATTTTACGTGTCAAATTAAGTGACCTACAACTATAATAAGATGAGGTAGGGCGGAGGTGGTGGTGGTGGTTGACAAATAAATTGGCGGTGCAACGCCAGTTGACCAAATTGATCAACTGGGGATGTGCAAAATTTGATGCTCACGGGGCATCCAATTTCATACAACAAATTGTTGTTTACCTAATTAACAATATTTTTTTTTCAAGTAACAAAGCGAGAGACTGCAGTACTGTTGTTCTCAAGAACAGCTGTTGTGTTCTTTGATTTTCATTCATGTTTGTTCTCGTGCATTCTCAACCTTCTCTATATCTTTAGCTCAGCTTCAGCCATTTGGCACTTGTTTTTTCCACTTGTTTTCTTTAAATTATTCATCTCCCAATTAATTTGTTTCACGATATTATTGCTCTTCTATACTGTCATTCAAGTGAATTTTATAATTTCTCCCACCCAACTGCATACCTAAAATGAAACTATTGATTTTTTTTTTTTTAGTCTACTATAAAACACCACTGTTAAATCCTAATAATGCTTTAAGATTTTCTAAGAAAAAAGAAAATAAATCTAAACAAAGCTGTAATGAGCAGAAGTAATTAAAACTTATATGAAACAAACTCTTATTTACACTCCCTATGTTTGATCCCAGAACAAAATTAAACAATTGTTAGACATAATTTTGATGCTTGATTTGGTTATACAAGGATCAATTCAAGCAAAGAAATTATAAAAAAAATTATTCAATCACTGAGTAGATATAGATATACACCATGCCATTGAGGATTCAAGATTAATCCAATAGAAATAAAATTAATTAAGAAGAAAAAAAGAGTGAAAGTAAAATTACTTGAAATGTTTAGAAGCTTGAGAATGGTGAGACACGTTTGATGAATTAACTTTGAGTTGATTCATCTGAGAGAATACTAATCACAAACTTTAATTTTTATGTTTTTGAGAGTGAAGGAAATGAAAAATCTATCAAAATTTTATTTTAAATTGAGACACAAGTAAATACTTTACGTAACAAATATAAAATTGCAGGATTTTTTGGCTTTTAAGCTCAGCCAAGACTGACGAAGTGACCATTGGATCCGCCCCTGTTTTGGGAATTTTTTTTTTTAAACTATGAAGAGCGCTTTCAAATAATTGTATAATTATTTTTAATTAAGATAAATAGAGAAAACAAACAAAGAACTTACCAAAATAAACCCATTTCTTAAATTGTAATAATGTAACGAGGAAATTACTTCATACTGTCTGTTAGATGATACTGGCTACATATAAGCTCTGTCTAATCCTGATCATGCACAAACAGGCCAGAGAATGATAACTCTTTTTATAAAATAATAAATGACAGATAATTAGCTCCATTGCAAGCAGGTGGGAAACAAAGTGAAAATGCATTTCACTTATTTAAGGCTGAAACCATGAGCCTACTCAAGTTCTTATATACATACATCCACATTATGCTCAACTATCACAGCATATTAGAGGCAGGTATATGTAAAAGCAAGCAGCCAAAATGTCTTCAACGAAATGTAAATTGCATATTATCAAGTAATCCTGAAAAAGACTTGATGATGCACAATATTTTCTTTAAACCCAAACTATGACTATGAACTTGCTCCAAAAACGCGGATTCTCTGTTCTATTGGAACCCGGCAGCATGGACAAGTGGCTTTTCCCTTCTTTCCGTAATTGTCACTGCAACTGACACACAATACTTGGTGAGCACAGGGCAGAAAAACAATGGAGACTTCATCTTTCAAACAAATCATGCAATCCCTATCACGGTTGCTTTCTTTCTCAGACGAATCTTCCAATTCGTCCAACTCATGCAGCAACCTTGCAATCGTTTCTCCTTGGGGCATTACCCTCTCTGACTTTCCTAAAGGTAAAGTAGCTGATTGATGAATCAACTCAGTAGACTCTGCAGATGCTTTTAGACGCGAAAACTCCTGCTCAAGTCTTTGGAGATCGTCCTTGTGGCGCTGGAAGTCTATCTCTATTTTCAGGCGCAAAGCCTCAAGCTTTCTTTTATTGCTAGCTTCTGCTGCTTCCTTTGAACGCTGTTCCTCCTCCACTTGGGTCAAGGCTAGTTCTTTGGCCTTCTGTTCCTGCCTCCACTTTGACTGTAATAAGAAGATGTGTTTTAGAGGGGAAAATGAACGAGGAATAAGGACATATTTTAAGTTGCAGCTTCCAATACAGTTTCACATCATTAAAAAAAATAATTCTCCCAGGTTATGGCCTCTCATTTTCATTTACTTTTTCTTTGGGGGGATAAGAGACAGGAAATTTGTATTATGTGTTAAATTTTCAAAAGAAGAGATAGATGTCCTCTAGCAAAACAGAAAAAATACTTACAACATGACACCCCAGGACTTCCCCTAACAAAAGTAGGACATTCTAAAATAGCCCTACAAATGTAAACACCAAAACATACTCCAAATAGATCAACACAAACTTATACTAGCTGAAACATAAACACAGCTCAAATCATAAGACAATGGCCAATTATAATGAATAAGGAAACGAGGAATTCTCCGAAAAGCAGAAGTCGCTAAAACCAAAAGAGAAGCCATAAAGAGAAAATGTTTTCTTCCAAATGATTTTCAAATGTTGTTCTTTTCCTTCCCAACCAAAATACCCAAAGAATAGCCATCATCGCACAGTTCCAAGACACTGAAGCTTTCTTCCCTCCCCCAAAAGGCACTATAACTCTCAAACAGCAAGAAGACACAGGATTTTGGTTCTGCCCAGCTAAAATTAGCTCCACAGTGCCTTTGGGGAAGAAAAGATATAACTTGCTAAATAAGTAAAGCAATTTATAATCTCATCAACAGCCATTAATCTAAAAATAAAAAATTATGTTCATTATATGAAAAATAGAATCAAGAACCTTAGATCAAAACGACCAAGACTGCTGCTGTTTATGTATACACAGATACTAGTAATAAAAATCTGTGAGCTCATTTGGCACAGTTGTTGAAGCTAAAAAGAACAAATTCAAAAACTGAACGTATAAAGGTAAAGCAAACTTATATACAAGACTCAAATGTAAAATCAATTCATATAAAAATAAATATATCCCATGTAGCAGAAGATCCAGAAATTATTTGCCAAAAATCACATCATCTCATAAACAGAAGAGAAATGTTTGTAGTTGTTCCATTTCACATTCTTAATGCTTTCAGTTGCTCCAAATTGCATTATCTTAAATATGTAGAAGCTGTTTAGTGCTGGTTAGAGTGTGAACTGATGCAATAAAATTTCATTTCCTTCAGTTACCCACAATTTGCTTCGTTCAACGGAGTAACTTATACATTATGTTTAGGCAGAGATCTAAATGATAATAATATCTGCAACTTCATAGTTCTAACTTTCATCCATGAGAAGACCAACAAATCATTCCTAAATAGCAAGTATAGCGGAAACCACATTATTGAAATACGAGTTCCATAAACATTTGACTTCAAATGCTCAGGTTTCTATCACTGTTGTTTTGTCTAATTAACCTATGTCAATTTGGAAGTCTATATTTTATGAAAACCAATATAGGATACACAAGAAATTTTATGCAACTAGGTTTTGAATCAATATTCTTAATTAATTGAAACTCAGACAATTACAATGAGAGGACAGCAGGTATATAGTCAATATTCTTACTCAAACTACTATAAATGATCTCATTCCAATAAACCTTAAGAATTAATATTTTGTGTGCATGCATAGGTGGAAACAGAAAAATTAAACACACCTCAGTTTCTTTCTGATCCAGCTGGACGCGTGCCAAACATCGTTGCAACTCCTTGATCTTCTCTTTCTCATCAGCGATCTCCTCCTGCAACTTAGCTTTCTGTTTCTCCCAAGCCAAGAGCCTCTTAAGGCACTTTTTCTCCCTCTTTGCGACCTCCAAACATGTTGTAACAGACTCTGCAGCACTCAACTTGGAAGCCTCCATCTCTGCTCTGATTTCAGCATTCTCTGTTTCAAGCCTTCTAACAGCAGCATTTGCTCTATCTACTTGACCACTAGCCTTCCTCAGTGCATTCTCCATCTCCGAGAGCCTCTTCATGGTTGTGTCCTCAAGAGTCTGTTTCCCCTTCTTCAACCGCTGAGTCTCCTCCCTCTCCATCCTCAACATTTTAAGCTCTGTTAGGTCATTACTAAGTTTCCTAGCAGCTTGCATTGCCTTCTGGTGTGCCCATTCTTTCCGCTCCTTCACCAGCTTCTCTAATTCCTTAACCTGGTCAAGCAAAGTAACTATCATCTCATCCTTCTGATCCTCTGTTACATCCTCCAAATGCTCATCAATATTCAGATCACGCAATTTACTCATTACTGAATCAACCCCATTTGGATCCTTCAAACTCTTTGACTCCTCACACTTCTCAACCAAAACCTCAGCCCCAGATCCAACTGGAGAAACATCCCCACCCGACGTAACACTCAGACAAGCCGGAGATTGTGACTGCATCTGCTTCGAATTAGCCCGAAAACCAGCAGCAAACATTGCGACATTTCTCTTCAACAAAGATTTCATAGAAGGCGAAAGATTAAACCTCTTAGGACACTCAATATCCCTCGGCAAAGTCATTTCAGCACTATATGAAAAGAACCCATTGACCGAAAACTCAGAATTTCCCCCACTCCCAAACCCCCACCCTCCATGAAACCTACACAATGCTGGAGCAACAACACCACTAACCCCACCATTATTTACAACATTATCCACATTGTTTGGAACTGTACCACCACAAACATTAGTACCCGGAATTTCAATACTATTCGCACGACCCACATGAAGATCACTCATCAGCAAACACCACATGGCATCACCCTTACTCAAATGTGGTCTAACTTGTTGCAACAAACATACCATACCCGCAAGTGAGTACTCTTCTAGTTGTCTTAAATCATTAAAAACCATCTCTGGTTCCTCTGAATTCACATTACCAGCATTACCATTACCACCACCACCACAAGGACTACTATTCAAATAAGCCAAAGAATTATGCAATATGTTTGTTAACACATCCATGCCACCATAACAATACCCATTTTTCAATATAGCCTTCAAAGCAACATCCTCATCATAACCCAATGCAACAAGTTTAGATATAGCTTCATTATACAAAAACTCTAAGTTTTTCAACAAAATTTCCTCCAGTTGTTCCTCAGTGCAGTAACCCCAACCATGATCCTCAAAAGTTGAGTTAGGGTTAGGGTTTGAGTTCTGGGTCGAATCATGTAAACCCAGATGATAACTCAATGGTTTGAGACCCGATTCAAGTATAGATTTAGATATTGATACCTTATCAAGATAACAACAAGGATCGAATTCGGGTTTCACGGATCGTGGCCTCCGGTTTGTCCGGATATGCTTCTCTCTCACAGTGCAACCCATATAATATAAACAATATCTGTATCAAATTTCAATCAACAACCCCTGAAATATCATCGTATAAAAATCACATTACCATAAAACAGAAAAGAAAAAAGAAAACATAACAAAGAAAACAAGAAGATTGGATTGTGAACGAGAAACTCACAGATGAAGAACGCGTTGATTTATTTGAAGCTTGAAATCAATAGAGTGATTGAGAAAAATGGAGGCGTCTGTGTGTGTGTGTGTGTGTGTGAATTTGATAGAGAAAGGGCTGAGCAGGCAAGGCGGATGCAGGTCAGTGTATATTTGGTTAAGGCCCAAGGCTCAGGGGTGATTTTGCAAAGATTTAATTGTTTTGAAGTGACGCGGTTCATTATTGCCTCAATTAGGTAAAATTTATTTATTATGATTTTATTTTTATTGTGAATTTAACCAAATTTATTTTTGATAACTAAATTTAGAGGCCATATTAATACTTACCTTTTTTTTATTAAAAAATATAATATAATGTATGGATTGTAATTAATTGTAAATTAATACTCCCTCCGATTCATTTTAATAAACGTTTGAGAAAAGTATTTTTTTGCCAAAATAAAAGTCGTTTGACTACTCCATCCTCTCTCTCTTCCTTGATGAATTCCCCTGTCCTTTGTATTCCAATTTTCTCTGCCCTCATCTCTGCTCTCTTTTTCTCCATCTCTGCCCCTTATCTTCTCTCTCTCTTTCTTTTTCAAATGCAGGTGAAGAGCAGTGGGAGAATCAAAATTTTCCCATTGCAATTTCAGTGAAAGAGTCAGTATATTGAGAGAGAAATTTGTTTTCTTAAAAATTATGCAAGATCTTAAAACGTCGCTTAAAAAGAAACGAAGAGAGTATTTATTCTTTTAATGCAATAATAAGTCTAGAAAAAAATAGTTTTCATAATAAATTTAAATTGGGCCTGTGTGGAGTGAGGACTATGAAGCGAGGCGGAAATAATGATAATATCGATCGTTTGGTTTATTATTTCATACCCTATTTCTAATTTTATTCTCAAAATATTTGTTTGTTTAATTATTCAGAAAATATTATTATATTTTATTTAATAACTTTTAGACCTTTTAAGTTTATTAATTTAATTAAACACCTAAAAAAAAGTTTAAAAATTAACAAAAATACCCCAACCCACCCATGGTAGCCGGAATTTGTCACAACGGCGTACGAACGACCGAAAATGGTCGATAATTCACCGATATGGCCTTTTCCAGCCAGATCGAAGCACGACTGGCCAGATCTGACCAGTCTGCATCGTAATACCAGATTCTGACAAGATTTTAGCGGTGGTGACCAGAATCTGGCATTGTAGGTGGGTGGGGGTATTTTTATTATTTTATAAAAATTTTATATATTGGGGTGTTTAGTTAAATTAACAAACTTAAGGAATTTTTTGTTAAATTTTAAATTTTACCTTATAATAATCACCCTATTCAATTACCAAATACTATTTCCAAAATAAAAAAACCAAACGGACAGATTTTCGAATAAAAGAATGATTCAAATGATAAATCTCATTATCGCTTTTACGATTGTTCATCGGTTTGAACCAATTTCGATTTTGTTAATAAAATATATAAGTCAAGTCTAATAAATATCCAAATAATTTTATAACTCGATTACTTATTTGAATAACAAGTGTTTTGTTGACTTTTTGCCAATATTAAGTGAATTAAAAAAGCTAATTTTTTTGACATTATTTTACTTAATGAAAAATATCTCAATACTTTGTTTAAATTGTTTTGACAAATTTTTTCTTATTTAATATAAATAATTACAAATAAGTCTATTTAAATTAACCCTTTAAACAATTTTCTTAGTATGCTAATATTTTACGCCTTTTTCTTATTACTTTAAACTTTTTTATCAAACACTTTAATTCAATAAGGTATTTGTATTTATTTTTTAAGTTTATAAATTTTAAGTATAGAGTTAAACAATATCAAATAAAAAATTATTTACATAATATTATATCTAATGTCAAATGGGGGTGTTTATAAATCGTTAAGTTTGAAGAAAATTTATTTAAAAAACAAACAACTTAAATAAGAAAGTAAAAAATCAACAATCATTCAATTTATCTATTTAGATTTTATATGTTTTTAGATTAAAAAAAAAAAAATACAAACTAAATATTTAATCTTTTTTTCTCCAGATTCATCGCACGAGAGTTTGATAATTTTCGAGTCCACGAATTCAATTACGAAACATGTATAATTTAAGTACATAAAATCATCGATAGAGCAAGATTAACAATTTTTTTTTGTTTATTACAAATTCATTGTCTATTCACTAGGGGTGTTCGGTTCTGGGTACCCTGCACTTTTTGAAGGAAACGAAACCGGAACCGGAATCGACGGTTCCTTTAAATTTGGAACCAGAACCGGAACCGACGGTTTTGGTTCCTAGATACCCAGAACCAGAACCTGTAACAACAGTTTCGGTTCCGGTTCTGGTTCTGGGTATCCTGTAAAATTCATGACCCCCCAAAAGTTTTTAAAATGACAAAAAAACCCTTAAAAACTTACAAATACCCCCCCACTTGGCACTTATTAACAAAAATAAAATTACAAATTATAAATTCAAAATTACAAGCTCCATTACTTTGTAAAGATAGATTCTCAAAAGTCAAACCAACTTACTTTAAATGTTATGAAATATAAATATAAATGTATTCACATTATTTTTTCTACAAAAGTTTTTATTAATCCCCCTAATCTTTAATTTTATTTTATATTAGTCTCGGTTCCTGGTTCCGGTTCCTATAGTTAGGAACCGGAACCAAAACTGCACATAATGGCTTTCCACAAATTTGAACCGGAACCTACCCATTAACGACTGGTTCTGGGTAGGAACCGAACCAAACTCAAAGTATCCGCCGGTTCTGGTTCCAACCAGTTCTTTTGACACTCCTACTATTCACTACCAAAAACTACTTTTTTTTTTTTTTTTTTTTCTTTCATAAGTTTTTCGTGTGAACTGAGTAGCTAGAAGTTGTCACGTTAATTTTATTTCTGTCATTTTCAGCTTAATTAATTTAAGCTTTATCATATTTTCTAGCACCACTCTATCTACTTTTTTTTTTTTTTTTTTTTTTTTTGTTGTTGATTTTCTTGACATTTTCTGACAAAATTTCCACAATAGAAATTTCATGACAATGATTTTAAAGTATATTATAATATATTGAGAAGAAAGTTAAAAGAAAAATTAAACTCATGTTTTATATGTAATTAAGAATAGAAGCTTGTTTATTATCATCGATATCATTATCGTTTTCTCTATTTCATTCTATTTTTCTCATAAATTATATATAATTGTTTACTTATTAATTTTGTTTTCTGAAACAAAAAACTAAAAGAAATCTGAAATAGTTAATCTTTTGGATAACTAAAAATTTAATACACACAAAATATGGATTTTTTTTTTTTTAATATATATATCTTGATTAATTTTAAATATTCCTTTAAAAAAATATAATAAACACAAATTTAAAACAGAAATAGATGTCCTTTTTGAAATACAAGCAAATGTTGTGTCCTAAAAAAAAAAAAATTCCATCTTAATATAATAAATTGAAAATTATTTATTTATTTATTTATTTTAATCTTCCATTTTGATGTATCAGTATCTCATGTGAAACCATTAAAGATTCATACAAAGATAAATGCTTTGAAAAGTTGACAAAGATAAACGTGATTAGTTGAAGCCAAGAATAAGTTAGTTCAAAAACTATTATAATTAATTTAAAATATTATTAATTAAATTGATTAAGATCAAAATCCATTAATAAATACCCCATCATTTATTAACTTCAAATGTGAAAAGCCTTTGAAGATTTCTTCATTATTGCAGAATCTAGAAACCACCATACCCAGTAGTCATCCATGGCTGAGATATCCAAACATGACCCTTCACCCGCCTTTATACGAACAATTGAAGACATCATGTTACTCTACAGATCACTGCCACCAAGGCCCTCCATTGAAGAAGTGGAAGCAGCTTTGTCTGTGATCAAAACAGTCAACACTGAGGAGCAAACTAAGCTTGAGGAAATCTCCAACGAGGAGAAGCCAAAAGATGTTCCTGAAGAACTCTTCTCCATTTTGCAACAGTTTAAAAAGAGTATGGTTTTGTTTCAGAGTCATGAGCAGAGGAAAGAGGCTCAGCACTTGGTTGAAGTTGACAAGTACTTCGGGACCTTTGATGAGCTGATTCAGAAAGCTTCTGGGTTGGTTTCTGGGGATGCCCAGATGGAGAAAGTGGGTGGTTTTGATGATGACCCAGTTGAGAAAATCGAGAAAGAATGTGTTATTAGTGATGAGAGTTTGGTGAAGAGAAGGGAAGAAGATGATCATCAATTGGAGAAACATGGGTTTAAGGGCTTGTTGAAAAGTTCTTCCACTAAGGCTGCTTTCTTTTCAGGTAAAAACTATTGCTTATTTATTTATTTATTTATAATCTTTATCAGACTGAAACTGTGATTGAAGTATAATTTTCCTTGAATTTGATGTTACCATCTCTGTTTTTGCTTGATTTTTTTATGTTGATTTGTTTGATCTTTGAATTTTTCTATTGGCATGCTGATCAAGTTTCTTTTACCTCTGAATTTGATTTTGGGTTGTGTAGAGTTACAATCAAGTAAAGAGTTCGTGTCTTTCATGTTATGTATTGAATTTAGTGATTAGTTCACACTATTTTTGTTGTTTTTTTTTTTTTTAATCTGTTGAATTCAACCCTGATTTTTTGGAGCATTTACAGGTGAAGTAAACAATGAAAAATTGAGTCTGACGAAGATGGCTGCTGTTATTGAAAATGCTGCTAAAAGTGGAGCAATAGTTCTTGATCTTGGAGACAAGTTAGTAGATCAGGTTGAATGGCTTCCTGTGTCAATTGGAAAATTGAAGGATGTGATTGAACTGAATTTATCAGAAAACCGCATCATGGCTCTTCCATCCTCTATCAATGGCCTCAAGAGCTTAAAGAAGCTCGATGTCCATTCGAATCAACTCATTAACCTTCCTGACTCGTTTGGGGAACTTATCAACCTAACTGATCTTGACCTTCATGCAAACTGGTTGAAATCATTACCAGCTTCTTTTGGGAACTTGATCAACTTAGTAAACCTTGATCTAAGTTCAAACCAGTTTACCCATTTGCCGGAGTCAATCGGCTGTTTGACCTCTTTGAAGAAACTGGATGTGGAAACCAATGAACTTGAGGAACTTCCTTACACAATTGGAAACTGTTCATCACTTGTAGAGCTAAGATTAGATTTCAATCAGCTAAAGGCTCTACCTGAGGCAATTGGGAAGCTTGAATGCTTGGAGATTCTCACTTTGCACTATAACAGAATAAAAGGGTTGCCAACAACGATTGGAAACCTCTCCAAGTTAAAGGAGCTTGATGTGAGCTTTAATGAACTTGAGTCCATTCCCGAGAGCCTTTGTATTGTAGTAAGCCTCAAGAAACTGAATGTGGGGAAGAACTTTGCAGATCTTAGAGCCTTGCCAAGAGCAATTGGAAATCTAGAGATGCTCGAGGAGTTGGATATAAGTGATGATCAGATCAGAATTTTACCAGAATCTTTTGGGTTATTGTCGAAACTGAGAGTCTTTCGTGCTGATGAGACTCCTTTAGAAGTTCCACCAAGAGAAGTAGCTAAATTGGGTGCTCAGGTATTGCCAGATTACAACTTCAGCTTATGTTGCTTAATGTGAACTTATTTTCTGTTGCATAGTTATTAAAAACTGAACTTAATTCTACTGTTTTGTTCATCAGGCTGTTGTTCAGTTCATGGCTGACCTTGTTGCTAGTAAGGATGCTAAATCTCTACCAGTGAAGAAAAAGAAAGGGTTCTGGTCCAGAGTTTGCTCAATCTTTTGGCTTTTTCGCAGCAAACCCGTCTCAAGCGCGTGACAAATAAACGCTTAAACTTCATACGGTTTGCCCTGTAAAATTTGTTTTCTTCAATAGATTTTCATATAAAATTTGCAGCCAATATATTTACACAGTTCATGTCAAAAGAGAAACAAACAATGTATAATTGATGCTTACATTTTGTACCATCTGCATTCCTGTGATATAAAAATAACAATTTGTGAATCTTGTTTTGGTTTTTGTTCTAATTTTTCAAGAAAGACAGCTAAACTCCATAGCAGTTTTCTGGAAAACTCAGACTGCTATGAAACCAGTCTGCTATTTTGGTCGTTTACATTAATGCTATAAAACTATGATAATGACTGCATCAACGACCTACATTTGATGCCATCTTGTTGAATAGACTCCAGAAGCCGACCAAATCAGAAATATATAAATATTCTGTGGAGTGATCGAACTTGTTGAAAATGAGGATGTTATTAATAAAGAATTTGAAGAAGCAAGCTGTTTATAGGGTTAATTTGTTTGACTCAGCCTCGAATCTGCGGGCTTAGGAATCAAAATCTGTTGTCAGTATCAGTTGGTTTATTGTTCAAACAAAAGTCAAAAGGGGTCCGGCCTAGAATATTAATGGATAAACATGTTCATTTTCTTATTATTTATTTGATAATTTTATCAGAAAATTCTTCTAATGTCAACTTCTGATTTCTTACTAAAATTTTGAACCGCCTACATTTGACCATGTTAATTTCAACTCCAGAATGGTAAAGTAATTTTATAAAAAATAAAGAATTACACCTAGGAAGGGGAGAACCCCAAGCACTTCAACGCGACAAGCAAAGTGAAGAAACTCCAAAAACAAAACGCTATACAATCCTATTCACAACAGCCTCAACCCAAAAAAACAAGGAAACAGGAGAGCATAAACAGTCCAGCCCCATAGGGGCGAGCAAAGAAAATAGAAAACCAGCCTTAAATGCCCAGGCCAACTAAACTAAAGCAAGCAAGGAGACAAAGGAAGGCCAAGGAGACAGAGCCCCACACGCAGAGATCAGAGGGAGAGGACCTGGCCGAATGACCAGCAGCAAAGACTAAATCCCAATTCCCAAGCTTCCATCCCACCAGGACCCCACTACACAAAAACAAGAAAGCCAAAAAACCAACCAATCTGTACCGTCTAACAAAACCAAAGCCCTCCAAAGTTTGGATAATCTGGACAGAACATCCAACAAAAACAACTCACCCACCTGCACATATCATACCAGCAGACCACACTAACCAGAATAGCAGCATTCTGGATAATCTCCACAGAGCAGCCAGCACTCCAAAAGCCCCCCAAATCAAGGCCTCCCTGAGGCAAAAGGAAAACACTGCCAAGCCGAGCCAAACTACCTACCCCACTAATCCTCCAAATCTCCAAAACCACCTAAAAACCAGCTCACCCCAGGCTTTCCCAAGGGAGGACACACCCAGTACATAACACACACACACCCCAACGAGGTCCCACCAAGCCCAGCCAGAGCAAAGAAGCAAGCCGTTACGATTTGAATCACAAACCATCTCTAACATTTTAATTAGGGTTAATGACTTTTTCCCACCTAAATAATGGTTTAATGGCACTGTTCTACCCACATACTTTTAAAATACCATTTTATTATTCAAATTTATATTCCGGTGACGAACAGAGAGCAAACTCAATCCAAACTGTTGAAGCTTTTAAAGAGAAGAGACCGTTGAGTTTTTAGGTGGTGAAATGTTAGATTTTTGTGGTGGAATTGATCAGAATTTGACTTAAGAGGGGTGATTGCGTAAACTCTAATTGCTCGATTGCTAGCAACTAGCGAAATCGACGAGAGTAGGGTTTGAGAGGTTTTAGTGAGCGATGATTGGGGAAGAAAATGATGGTAGTGTGGGGTCACAACGATGTCAAAATCGAAAACGGATTATGAATTTAAGTAATAAAATAATATTTTAAAAGTTTATGAGTAGGAAAGTTTACTCTTTTAATTATCCTTAAAATCATTATATTGTAAAGAATCAATAATAAAAAATTTGTACAATTCTTTAAAATAAAATTTTAAATTATAATTAGCATAACCATAATTTGGTTATGTCATTATGAAACACATCTATTATTTTTTTTTTTATTACATTATACCAAAATAATTTATATAGCCGTATTATTTTGAATATCTACCCAAAAATGTCACAAATTATATAGAGTTAAAAGACTTTTTCCCACCCATATAATGATTTAATGGTATTTTTCCACTTATAAATTTTTAAAATTGTATTTTATTATTTAAATTTATATTCTGACCATGAATAGAGAATAAACTTAGTCTAAGCTGTTAGGGCTTTTGAAGAGGAGAGATTGATAAGTCTTTTGGCTGTGAAAGATTAGATTTTGGTAGTTGGGATTGATCGGAATTTGACTTGGGAGGGTCAGCTGCATATAATCGCTAGATTATCGACAATTGACGAGGCCAACAGGAATAGAGATTGATGAGTTTTGATGAGTGATGACTGGAGAAGAAAATTATGGTGGTCTGAAATCGTAATGATGCCAAAATAAAAAATAAAATATAAATTTATATAATAAAATAGTATTTTAAAACTCCATAGAGAGACACGTGAATAGGGGGAAAAAATCGTTAACTCAATCATACAATAAAAACAAATCCCGTATACAAAATTAAATTAGTAATTAAAATGAACCAATTTATAGATGATTTAAGAAATTAAAATATATCCGAGTTAGTTGGAAAAGCAATCTCTTAAATAACGCGAAGGTAATCTTTTGATTTCATAAACCCTAATTTTGGAGCGTTTCATTAAATTAACCTTTGTATAGTTTAGTTAGTGATAACGGTAACCCGCCAATATGTTCTTCTTGTTATGATTTAACAAACCCAAATCCAAAATTAGTTCTTTTGCCGATTAACGAATTCAAAATTTAAATTTTCAACAGATTCAAAGACAAAAGCATGGGAGACAACTCGTCAGCGTCTGATGAAAAGACCCAAAAGGCCGGGAATCGGATTACAAATGTTTACATCTGGGACATGGACGAGACCCTTATTCTGCTCAAGTCTTTGCTGAATGGGGCTTTTGCTGAGGCTTTCAATGGTTCAAAAGATGTAAAGAAAGGTGTTGAGCTTGGGAGAATGTGGGAGAATCACATTCTTAAAATGTGTGATGACTATTTCTTCTATGAGCAAGTGAGTTTGCATTTTTCACTTGATATCTCATTACTAATTTGTGATTTTGAATGTCACAAGTATGAAGCTTTTTTCAACTTTGCAGATTGAGAACTACAATAAGCCTTTTCTTGATGCATTGAAGCAATATGATGATGGGATGGATCTTTCGGGTTATGATTTTAACCGGGATGGGTTTAGTCCTCCACATGATGATCCCAGTCTCAAGAAGCTTGCATACAGGCACCGAGCTATTGGGAATAAGTATAAACAGGTATTGATATTTATTGTGTATCAGAATGGGGTCTTTTTATCTTTTATATGCTTACCTAGTTGTTTTATGATTATCTGGATTGAGTTAAAGTATATAGAAATGAAAACCTGTGGTTCCAATCATACTTAGTTATCTGATAAACTTTTTTGGGCTAGTAAATGATAAATTGTATTCATATGAAGCACTAGTGTTAATTGGACTTGTGATTTTTTCTTCATTGTGGACAAGAATATGATTGTTTCATTTGCTGTTTTGAAAATTTTCCTTCAGTGGATTTTTGAGCTAAAAGTAACCAGAATCAAACTTAGCTTCATGTTTATATGGGTTTTTTGGATTCTTCTAATTTGGTTGTCATCTTCAAATGAAGATAGGTTGTGCAAGTTTATGGAATCTATGGAAAATGATGAAGTCAAGTGTGTGATGTTTTTAAATTTGATTTTTCTCTCAAACTTTGTGTCTCCTGGAAGTGGGAAGTAATATGTGGCACTTCTATCCGCAGTCATGTCTTCCTTTCTCAATCCTTTGTATGTATTGATTGCTCTGCATTATCTCATGTATCTCATTCAGAAGCTGTTTACTTTGTTAGAGCTATTATGTTATAATATGGTGTATAATACAGTGATGTGATTAACTCTATTATTTCAGGGTTTGCAAAGTATTTTTGATCAAGAAATGTTGAGTTTCTTGGATGAATTGTACAGTATGACTGATGAATATACAGATAGATGGCTATCATCAGGTACATTTTCCTTGAGAATTTTGATGTGGCCGCAATTCAATTCAGTTATATCCCTTTATGGTTCCAGTGTTTAAGTGCTTCACTTGTTAGCAATCTGCAATGTCTTTTAGTGATTTGTAATCTTTTTAAGATAAAGCTGTGAAATTCTACCAGAACAGTGGATAATTAAATAGGTGCATGGAAAATGTTTCTGTGTTAATAGAAATAAGCATCCATTATTCTAATGAGAGTTGAAATTGGCGTTTATATTTTTGACCTGACATGTGAATCTGTAGCCAGGGTTTTTGTTTCCTATTATTATGAAATATCTGTTTAAACACAAATCAAGAGACTACAGAAATTTCATTATGAAAATTTTACAGTCACTGGAACTATTGTATTCTATAGTAAATGGAAATTTTAAATGCAATCACTAGAGTCAGGAGCAAATTATGCATAAGTGTTAAGTCTTGAAATTCTTTTCATCTTTATTTGATTTAGTAATCAGTACATGTGTGGATATATGCAGATAGCTTGTTCATTAGTTTGTAAAACTTAATTCAATTTTTAAAACTTTATTTGAGTTTCTTATTAAAAAAAATTCGTACATTACCTTGCTAATTGTAATTTGAGCTTGTGCTCTAATACATATTTCCATCACTTGGCCATAGTAGACATCTCTGTTTCCAATGTGTAGCAAGGGCCTTTTTGGAGCAGTGTTCAAGTGGGGAAGACTACTCAACATCTTCTCTTGGTTCTACCAGTGGGATCACTGACTTTACTGATGCAAAATTCCAACATGTAAATGTTTTGGTGACTTCTGGATCATTGATACCTAGCCTCGCAAAATGCTTACTCTTTCGACTTGACAATTGGATAGCGCATGGAGATGGTCAGTCTTATATTTTATCTCATTTATCCATAAATTATGTTATTCTTAGCACCCCACTTCATAGTTAATATTAACCTTCTCTGCTTCTCATCAGTGTACGCTTTTAATTGCCATATTCACATGGCAACATTTTACTGCCTCAGGGTGCTATGTTTTAATAACTATGATACATTAGTTTAGCAAGTCAGGCCTCATTATAAATTCTTTTGATTTGTGAAGCTGATGCTATCCTGATTGAATTGTACATCAGCTGTATTTGGCAATTAACTGAATATATTTTTTCATATTTATTTTGTGTCCTTTCATCTCTAGTTCGTTAGAAAGCAAACAGTATACATAATAACATATGTAATATTGTAGAACAATTAAACTACACCTAGAAAGGTTTCAGTCTCAATTTTGTAGCTTGCTAGGAAAGCTGGTCTAGCCCAGGCGAAAAATCAGTGGTTTTCACAAATCTATTGATCTAAAAAGAATGGTCAGGAGACAAAACCTGCAAGATCTGATCTTTAATCAGTAACTCACCCAAGCCCCTTTTTTCCTCTTACCATTCTTTACTTGGACAAATTAATTAAACCAGAAATATTTAAGGCATACATGTAACTGTATAAACCAGAAAATACCCAAGTCACTTACAAAAATAATTTCCTAACATGCTGCTATAAGAAGTTAAACATTAAAAACCCTAGGATTAGGCGTGAAACCTGGAACAAAGTACCCCAAAAGTCTTCCTATCGAATCATCACCATATGGTAAGAGTGACATTTATTGATGCAATTATGTGGTATTACTAACATTTTGTTGAGAACTCGAGATCCCAAGAGTAGTAGAAGAGCTCGACCTGATTAGACTAATTAAATTAGCCAAGGGTTTCCCACAAAGATTATACCTATAGTTACAATCAGGGGCGGATCCATGGCCCACCCTCAATTTTTTTTTTTAAATATTAATATATATAATTTTTAGATTTTGGCTCACCCTAACAAAAATATTAATGGACAAAAATATTAATATGTAATTAGTTTTTATTTTGGTCAACCCTAAACAAATTTTCTGGATCCGCCACTTGTTACATTGTGATTTTCTTCTTGGCAATAGGTACACCAACAACCAACACTTCCATGCTCTTAAAGAAATCGCAATCTGGTCTCACCCTCTAAGACTGTAAGAAACACCATTTGAAGCGATAAACCAAATTACCTTGTTTGGCATTATTACTTCCACAAGAAGTTCCTTGTTCTTCTTTGGAGAACGCTTTAATTAGGATGCAATACTACCATCGCCTGCTAAAATATAATCCTTGAATGAAACTTCGAAACAAAGATTTCTTCTAAGTTTGTCAAATTAGGGGCCTAGCATCAGTAGCAATTGGATAATACTGATTCAACACTTCTGACAAATTTCAGAAGTATTTAATACTCATTCACTATTAGAGAAGAAATAATATTCGTTAACATCTGTTAAGATCCTACATTGGAAGGAGAAAAGGTGCGCATGTGGGTTATAAGGGTTTGGACAGCCTCCTTTGGCAAGCCGGTTTTCCAAGGAGAGTTCTATCCAAGCCCATGAAAGACCCATGGCCCAGCCCAATTGTTGAGTTATTGGATTGAGTTCCTATCAATTGGTATTAGAGCATGATCTTGCGCCTACGTGGTAGGCCGACCTTAGGCTCGGACTGCTACCCCGAGAAAGGGCATGGAGGCCCAAGGGAACGGGGATCCACGTAGTCAATCAAGGGGTAAAGAGGCAGACATGGATGTCGGTTGTGGAAGCGTGGTGGAATGTTAGGATCCCACATTGGAAGGAAAAGGAGTGTGCATATGGGTTATAAAGACTTGGGCACCCTCCCTTGACAAGCTGGTTTTCTGAGGAGAGTTTTACCCAAATTCATGGAAAACCCATGGCCTAGCCCAATTGTTGAGTTATTAGATTGGGTTCCTATCAAACATCACAAGTCTAATAAACATTCTTTTCCATAATATATTCTGCCACATCTTCATAGCATATAGAAAATTGACATTATAGTAATGATGATTAAATTTTATGTAATTTCTTCAATGGGATATTATTTCTATATGGGTTGATAATAATGGAGTGGCTATAAAATTCTTGTATAAATCCCATTCACGAAGCTTGCACCTTGTTTTGGTGCTTTTAATTGTTTGTCATAAAGAAGAAACAGTTGAAGTACTGATAAATTATTTTTTTCTTCAGTTTACAGCTCATGGGAAGTGGGGAAACTCCAGTGTTTTCAATGGATCAAGGAACGTTTTAACAATCCAAATGTCCGGTTTTGCGTAATTGGAGATGGATGGGAAGAATGTGAGGCTGCACAAGCTATGCAATGGCCTTTTGTTAAGATTGATCTCCGACCTGGCAGTTCTCACAGGTTCCCAGGCCTCTCTCTTAAAACAATAGGGTACTATTTTTCTGTTGTGTATGGAAGTCACGATGCAGAAAATGATGAAGAGTAGGTTATCACACCATTGGAAGTAAGCAAGATCCGCTTTCCTGGATTTTTCTTTGTACATAAAATAAGAAGTGATCAATTGGGGGGTTGTATGTCTTTGGGAAGAAAAGAAATAAATGTATAAATCAGGCCTAACCCTTCACAAGTGTTTCATTAATAGTATAATTACATCAAGTGAATTCCTTTTCCCATAACTTCTTGTCAGGAACCAAAGTGATAATTAGAATTATTATGATCGGAAGATTTTTAGTGGAAGAATTCAGATCAAATGTATGCGTATTCGTAGAAGAGATAATGAACTATGATGATTAAATGTGTTCTTCTCTAACATTTTCTTTTTCATATTTTAATGCACTAAGAATGCTCTCTACCATCTATGTATGTGATGAAAACAATTGAGAAAGCAGAGTTTTAAATGTTTTACTTTGAACTACCCTTCAATTTATAGGTGTATATTCAGATACTTGGTGGCCAGACTTGGAAGATGTAGAAATCTATAGAGATTGGTAGAGAAGCAACCACTAAAATTCTTTGAAATGGTCCAGATGCATGACTAACAAATGTATCATCGACAGGCTCTCTTTATAATTGTCCTTTAGGTTTCTTGTAGATGTCAATATCTCTAAGGATTTTGTTTTCAAGCCGCAAATTGTGATTGAAGTTGCTTTTGCTTTTGCTTTTGCATATTTCTTTACTAAAATGTTTGATCTTGACCATTCAATCTACCCCAATGGTTTTTCCCCTTTATGCAGAATCCACAGAATTGTGGTTGAAAATTGAAAAAGTCTGGTATTCTCTACAATGGTGCTGAGTCTCTGGGGCAGCTCATAGATTGAAATGTCAGCATCGAAAGACATTTTCATAGGTTCTTTCTTCATCCCTCAAAGCTTATGTTGCTATTTTCTGGTGTTTTTTTCAGTTTTGAAAGTGGGGCTAATCAAATTCTCCCATGACTTACAATTAGGAAAATAACTTTCATTCAGTCATGATTTGATTATGTTTTGGCCTCACAATGCTGACCTTATCTAATTATCTATCAAGATCTCATTTATGGCTCCACTCTATCCGAAAATCTTCATCAAATCTTGTTTAGCAATATGTATGGCTTATCTTAAATCACAATTAAATATGGTTTATGGCACTTTAAGTCCCTTCTTCATTGGATGCAATTTGTAAGGTCTCTTATTAATAAATCAAATCTCGAGTGAAAAGCATATGTAATGTCGGTGTCTATAGTAAGTGCTCAGCTCTTTGGATGCCATTCAACCAAAATTTCAACTCTTTAACATGTTTTTTCTGCAACAGTCCCTTGTTTCAGAAAATGGGAATAATTACCTTACAGCCCCAGTAACTTTACTGGGATGGGGATCGATACTTCAATCATAGCTCTTTATCCAGAAGATATCAAAACAGGATAAAAGTAGTAGTACCTGATACTGTGCTTCAATCATAACTCTTTCAACCAAGATTTAAAAGTTATCAAAAATAATCTTACTGTAGTATTGCTACGATAATGTTATCAAGAGAAAACAAGTAAATAATTAAGAGTGAGCGGTTTTGGGTACCTTGTATTTTTTGGGAAAATCAGAACTAGAACCGCACAGTACAAGTTCCAAAAAAAGAAATCGGAACCGGAATCTGTCAGTTCCGGTTCTTAAATTCAAGGAACTGGAACCTAAAATGTAGATTCCAATAAAATGAAACCGGAATTTACCCACACAGTGTTGGTTTCGGATAGGTTCCGATTCTGGTTTTAGTTTTACCCGCAGGTTTCGGTTCTACCCATGCTCGCCCCTATAAATAATAATATAAAAATCTTGAAGCTCCCCCTGCGGAAGGTAAAAGGGCTGAAGTTGAAATAATTGGAGTTTTCCAGAACAATGGCAGGAATATCCAGTTAGGATCAAGTTAGATTCAAGAGAAGAGCCAAAAAAAAGTACAACAAAGTGGTCCCTTTCGCATGCTTATCTATAGACTATGGACCTGCAAATTAATTGTTTACTTTGTAGTCTTCTCAAAGCTTACATTGCCCATACTCTTTCACTCTTTTCATCACTTTCTCCCTCTTCTTCTACTTTCTTTTTTATTTGATATTTCGATTCTCCATTTTCTCAGCCTCATAAATGTAGTAAAACATTTTTTTACTGATTCAGGGTACGAATTTTGTCACGTTTGAGTTTAACAAAGCAGATATTGTTGTTTTTGGAATAATATCTATTTGATTTTCGCAACTCAATCGTAAGATGTGAAGATCTTACGATGGATCATACAGTTTGACAGACTTTGTGATGGTGACCTAAAATTTTATGATTATTTTTTGTTCTTTAAGCAAATTTTTGATATATATATAAATTCTTTTGAAGTATTGAGGTGATTTAACCATTAAAAAAAAAAAAGTACCCATCAAAATAAAATAAAAGATGAAAAAGTCCAAATTTATCTCACTTGTTAATTTGAGGAAATTTCAAAGGTGAAAAACCAAAAGCAAAAGACATAATTATAAGATGGACCAAAACCACCTAATATCCAGAGAGAAAAACCAATTACATGCAGATGAAGAAGAAGCATCAACCAACAGTAGCTTTAACAATGACAATTCAATACTTATTTATATGAATAGGAACAGAATAATAATCCCCCAACAATCCTCTCTCACAATCCTGACGTGATAGCTCGTAATTAGTCAGTTCATAACGGGTTTTACATAGGTCTCACTAATTAATTGCGATCTGATCAATTACGAACTGTCATGTCAGGATTGTGAGAAAAGGTTATTGGTGTAGGATTATTCAAACGGACCACCCGGCTAAACTCGTGGTTTTCCAATCCATTTAACAGACGGCCCCGATTGCATTTCGCTCGATGACTTGGCTCTCTCTCAAGTCTCCATTGGCCCTTTGTCTTTGACAGCAGCTTCTGCTTGTGGTGGGTTGAATATAACACTCACTTGCCTTTGATGTTTTACTCTGAAAAAGCAAACACAGTCTGATAAAGATTGAAGATAGAGAGACCGAGAGTCTGTTTAAGAGTTTGGGGACCCAGATTTTAGTATTAGATTTTGATCCATTTTTGGGTATAAGACTAATGTAGTACCTTAGTTTCGATTCCATTAACAACGATTATTCAAACTATGCCGTATTGATTATTCGGTGTTAAAGAAATACATCCATTTTCTAATGAGAGTTGAAATTGGCGTTTATATTTTTGACCTGACATGTGAATCTGTAGCCAGGTTTTTGTTTCCTATTATTATGAATATCTGTTTAAACACAATCAAGAGACTACAGAAATTTCATTATGAAATTTTTACAGTCACTGGAACTATTGTATTCTATAGTAAATGAATTTTAAATGCAATCACTAGAGTCAGGAGCAAATTATGCTAAGTGTTAAGTCTTGAAATTCTTTTCATCTTTATTTTAGATCATTGTTATATATGCAGATAGCTTTTCATTAGTTTGTAAAACTTAATTCAATTTTTAAAACTTTATTTGAGTTTTCTTATTAAAAAAATTCGTACATTACCTTGCTAATTGTATTTTGAGCTTGTGCTCTAATACATATTCCACACTTGGCCATAGTAACATCTCTGTTTCCAATGTGTAGCAAGGCCTTTTTGGAGCAGTGTTCAAGTGGGGAAGACTACACATCTTCTCTTGGTTCTACCAGTGGGTATACTGACTTTACTGATGCAAAATTCAACATGTAAATGTTTTGGTGACTTCTGGATCATTGATACCTAGCCTGCAAAATGCTTACTTTTCGACTTGACAATTGGATAGCATGGAGATGGTCAGTCTTATATTTTATCTCATTATCCATAATTATGTTATTCTTAGCACCCCACTTCATAGTTAATATTAACCTTCCTGCTTCTCATCATGTGTCGCTTTTATTGCCATATTCACATGGCAACTTTTACTGCCTCAGGGTGCTATGTTTAATAACTATGATACATTAGTTTAGCAAGTCAGGCCTCATATAATTCTTTTGATTGTGAAGCTGATGCTATCCTGATTGAATTGTACATCAGCTGTATTTGGCAATTAACTGAATATATTTTTTCATTTTATTTTGTGTGCTTTCATCTCTAGTTCGTTAGAAAGCAACAGTATACATATAACATATGAATATTGTAGAACAATTAAACACACCTGAAAGTTTTCAGTCTCAATTTTGTAGCTTGCTAGGAAAGCTGGTCTAGCCCAGGCAAAAAATCAGTGGTTTTCACAAATCTATTGATCAAAAAGAATGGTCAGGAGCCAAAACCTGCAAGATCTGATCTTTAATCAGTAACTCACCCAAGCCCCTTTTTTCCTCTTACCTTTTTACTTGGACAAATTAATTAAACCAGAAATAGCATACAGCAACCAAATACCAAGTCACTTACAAAATAATTTCCTAACATGCTGCTATAGAAGTTAACATTAAAAACCCTGGATTAGGCGTGAAACCTGGAACAAAGTACCCCAAAGTCTTCCTATCGAATCTCACCATATGTAAGAGTGAATTTATTGATGCAATTATGTGGTATTACTAACATTTTGTTGAGAACTCGAATCCCAAGAGTAGTAGAAGAGCTCGACCTGATTAGACTAATTAAATTAGCCAGGGTTTCCCACAAAGATTATACCTAAGTTACAATAGGGGCGATCATGGCCCCCCTCATTTTTTTTTTAAATTTAATATAAATTTTAGATTTTGGCTCACCCTACAAAATATAATGGACAAAATATTAATATATTAGTTTTTATTTTGTCACCCTAAACAAATTTTCTGGATCCGACTTTTACTTGTGATTTTCTTCTTGGCAATAGGTACACCAACAACCAACACTTCCATGCTCTTAAAAGAATGCAATCTGGTCTCACCCTCTAAGACTGTAAGAAACACCATTGAAGCGCTACAAAAATTACCTTGTTTGGCATTATTACTTCCACAAGAATTCCTTGTCTTTCTTTGGAGAACCTAATTGATGCAATACTACCATCCCTGCTAAAATATACTTGAATGAAACTCGAAACAAAGATTTCTTCTAAGTTTGTCAAATTAGGCCTAGCATCAGTAGCAATTGGATATACTGATTCAACACTCTGACAAATTTCAAAGTATTTAATACTCATTCACTATTAGAGAAGAAATAATATCGTACTCGTAAGAATCTACATTGAAGGAGAAAAGGTGCGCATGTGGGTTATAGGGTTTGGACACCCCTTTGGCAAGCCGGTTTTCCAAGGAGAGTTTTATCCAAGCCCATGAAAACCCATGGCCCAGCCCAATTGTTGAGTTATTGGATTGAGTCCTATCAATTGGTATTAAGCATGATCCTGCGCCTACGTGAGGCGACCTTGGCCTGGACTGCTACCCAGAAAAGGCATGGAGGCCAAGGGAAGGGATCCACGTAGTCAACAAGGGTAAAGAGCAGACTGGATTTCTTGTTGTGAAGCGTGGTGGAATGTTAGGATCCCACATTGGAGGAAAAGGGTGTGACATAGGGTTATAAAGCTTGGCACCCTCCCTTGCAAGCGGTTTTCTGAGAGAGTTTACCCAATTCATGAAAACCCATGGCCATCCCAATTGTTGAGTTATTGATTGGGTTCCTATCAAACATCACAAGTCTAATAAACATTCTTTTCCATAATATATTCTGCCACATCTTCATAGATATAGAAAATTGACATTATAGTATAATGATTAAATTTTATGTAATTTCTTCAATGGGATATTATTTCTATATGGGTTGATAATAATGGAGTGGCTATAAATTTCTTGTATAAATCCCATTCACGAAGCTTGCACCTTGTTTTGGCTTTAATTGTTTCATAAAGAAGAAACAGTTGAAGTACTGATAATTATTTTTTTCTTCAGTTTACAGCTCTGGGAAGTGGGGAAACTCCAGTGTTTTCAATGGATCAAGGAACGTTTAACAATCCAAATGTCCGGTTTTGCGTAATTGGAGATGGATGGGAAGAATGTGGGGCTGCACAAGCTATGCAATGGCCTTTTTGTTAGATTGATCTCCGACCTGGCAGTTCTCACAGGTTCCCAGGCCTCTCTCTTAAAACAATAGGGT